ATTATTTAATCATGTTCTTGCATTTACTTTTTTAGCATCTTTTAATGCAATTTTAAGTCATATGAGCACACTGAATACAATATGTTTTGTAATGTATATTTTGAGGCATGCATCAAACTTTCTTAGGCCTATCAACACTTGTAAAATCCTCTCTGAGATTTTCTCCAACCTCCAGACAAATTTCTCTGAACCAGCCATAAAATAGTACACAGTAATAACTTCACAGCACATTTTATATTACCTGCTAAATTTTCCTAACCTGATTAGACTTGTTTCAAAAAACTTTTAGCCACACACACACACACAAAAAAAATAATTTAAGTAATTATTTATTATTTAGATGGAATATCTCATATAAATCATTTGCATTTTGTTTCAAATATAGTGGATCTTTAACCTTTGGTAAATTCCTAAATGTGTTATGTGTCTTTTCAAGACAATAAAATTATACGTGATATTTGACAAAATTTGATAGGACAGGTTTCATGGCCAAAAACCTGGTATTTTTGAAAATCCCAGTCTTCTGTATAATCTGGATAAAGCCTGTATGTCCTCAAAAGTGGACAAAAGCGAGTTTCTGCTCCTAGAAGATTATTGTCTTCAGAAAGCGACTGCTCAACTTGCTGCGTTTGCAGTATAGAAACAGAATACTGCCATCTATTGACCACACACACAAATGCAGAGACCTATCGGCACATACTGTGTTGCTCTCCATAGGGAATTTACCTGTCCTGTCTGAGCACATTGAAATCATTCAAATGTATAATGTGATTCAGATTTTCTACCAACTGATCAGACTAAACTTCTCCATTGGTACATAGGTGAGGGACTAACAACATGTGATTTATATCGGTCAAACACACCAGGTCTGCCCTGCTGTTTTCCCTCTTTAACAGTGTACAGTGAGACTTGAGACTTTACAGCACACTGGGGGGTCTCACTGTTACCAAACAAACACACACACACACACACACACACACACACACACACACACACACTCGCGCACCGTGAATTTGTTTGGTGAGAGCTAATTCCCCTCAATCTCAGGCCTGAGGTCGGTGGGCTCGGGGGGACGGCCTTATTGACAGATATCCAGATCCCACTTTTCCCACTCTCTCTTTCCCACTCTTCTTTTTCCCAGGCCAGTACTCAAACCCAAAGGCTCACTTACACAGCCACTTATCCCTTGAAAAACGGCCACAGCCACATCCACACACCATTCTGTTTGGAGTGTTTGAAAATGTGCTTTAAGAAAATTTGCATTTCTGAATAGGAAAAAAAGTTTATCATTTATGAAACCATTTATTATTTATTTATTTTTTTGGTTGAAAGAGCCAGATTGGTGCCCGTGCATGCTTGGTTTCAGGTTTTACACACGCACTCTTTTCAGGGATGAGCGCTTCTTTGACTTGAGGGACACCCTGGTGTCTGAATGTACTTTTACTTAACCTTTTAGTACACGACAGCTGTTTGAACCTCTTTGATACTCTCACACACATGCACAAAGACCCTCCAGCCCCACCCAGACTTCAGTTGTTTCAACAATAACTCTGCCGCTCGGCTGTGTAGACCGTGCCAAGTGAGGATTAGTATTTTAGATGACTTCTGATGTTGTGCTGAATAGACTCTGGCTCTTGTTTCCGTGGAGATGGGCTGTTTGGAAGGGGGTCCCGTGTTTGTTGTGGGACTGCCTCTCTCTTCATTGCTGTTTGGTCCAGTCACATTCGCTCACAGATTTTCGCATGAAATTGAGTGGTTCTGGGATTTGGATATGTCTGCAAGTTATCTAAAGCATTTGGTTAAAAACAAATCTGATTTAAATCTAAAAGTTAACATTTAAATTCAATTCAATTAAATTAAACGGTAAGTTACAGTGTGACATTGTTAATTTAGATATTTAAAAACTATTAAATATAAAATAATAATAAAGTATTAATAAATAATGTTTAAACAGGATTTTTTTCTGTAAAAAAAGTAGAAAGCAAAAGTTGTTGTGTTCTCGTTCTAGAAAATGTTCTAATACACCAATTTGGTGCTCATGAATTATGACGCCAGATTACTCTCGAAAACAATATATAATTACAACCCACATTTACAAAATTCTATTTGTAGATTCTAAACGCAATTTGAAAATATACAAATAAAATTCATAAATAAATAAAAAAAAACATAAATGAGCAAATCAAATTCATAAATTCAAAAAAAACTATTTTAACTAAACATTCAATTCATAAATAAAAAAACACAATTCATAAATGCGCAAATCCAATTCGTAAACTCTAAACACAATTCATAAATGACCAAATCCAATTTGTAAATTCAAACACAATTCATAAATGCGCAAGTTTAATTTATATATTCAAAACACAATTCATAAATTTGCTAATCCAATTCGTAAATTCAAAAAAACAATTCATGAATGCTAAAATCCAATTCATAAATTTAAAAAACTATTTATAAATACACAAATCCAATTCACAAATTCATAAAACAATTCATAAAAGCACAAATCCAATTTGTAAATTTAAAACACAATTCATATATAAACAAATCCAATTTGTAAGTTCAAAACACAATTCACGAATCACCAAATCTAATTCGCAAATTAAAAGTCAATTTGTAAATACACATATCCAATTAGTAAATTAAAAACAAAATTCATAAATGACCAAATCCATTTCGTAAATTCAAAACAAAATTCATAAATGACCAAATCCAATTCGTAATTTCAAAACACAATTCGTAAATGACCAAATTGAATTTGTAAACTCAAAACAATTCATAAATGACCAAATCCAATTTTGTAAATTTAAAACACAATTCATAAATGACCAAATCCATTTCGTTAATTCAAAACACAATTCGTAAATGACCAAATCTAATTCGTAATTTCAAAACACAATTCATAAATCACCAAATCTAATTTATAAATTAAAAAGCAGTTTGTTAATACACATATCCAATTCGTAAGTTCAAAACACAATTCATAAATGCGCAAATCGAATTAGTAAATTTAAAACACAATTAATAATTGTGAAAATTCAATTTGTAAAATCGAAACATTTGGATTTGTGTAATTTTGAATTGTGTTTTGTATTTACGAATTGGATTTTTTTAAACGTTAATTGTGCTGTGCATATACAGTATGAGTTTTATTTTGTAAATGTATTACTTTTGAGACAGATCTGGCTCCATAGTGAATCTGTATAATTTAAAGTATCGAAACTAAAATCATTTGTCACATCTATTTTTGTACATGATTCCATTATTTTCAAGTTTGTTTAACATTGTTTATTTTGTAATTACAATTAATAACACGTTAAAGGAATTATAAATAATCACAAGTATTTATTTTTTGGAATCTGATTACATAATCCACATTACATTTAATCAGTTACTACTCCATATACATACATGCATACAGTGCTCAGCATATATAAGTACACCCCCCACAAATCTATTTTTTAGTTCATATTTTAGTAGGAATCTATACAATATTATATTTGTGCATATACAATAGATTAGTCAGTACTGAAGCCAAATCTAGAGCTTATCTAATCAATCATGCTACACATCACACTTTTTTTAATGCATCACAAAGCAACCGACAAACACTATATACCTCAATGCTCATCATACAACTTCCACCACCTCAAGTTATTGTTAAAACTGTTGTTGTTTTTATTGTTATCATTATCATCATTATCATTATTATTATTATTACCAGCCTGAGTATATTGTAGTTATCGCTTTAATAATCCATCATACATCTTTTTAATATTATTCTTTCCTGTGGGTTTGTATCATTCGTAATTATCATTATTATAGTAATGTTTTTTTTTTTATAATATTTTTTTTCTCATTGCTTTGTTTGCTGCACTTTAATTTTATTTATTTTTTTATTTAGTTGAAAGTTTGCAAGTTTGCACTTTGGATTTAATTGTATTATCTTTCAATTTCTAAATATGTTTGGTAACTAAAATATTATCTTAATAAATATATCTGTTTAATGAATCTGTTTTCTTTAAATGCACCAAAATACATTGCCTATATTCACTGAGAAATGGAGAAAAAAATTCTTTTTAAAAATGGGCTGTACTCAGTTTTGCTGAACACTGTATATGGGTTGTTAATGTGATGTTACACTTCCACTATCACTTACTTTCGTACTCTAAGGGTCGTTAATATCGAAGTTGATATTTAGCCTCATTTTATTTATTTAGTTGATATATAGTTTCTGTGTTTATTCATTTGATCCAGTAGGTTTTGTTGTTTCTCTGTAGAAACAACAAAACCAGATTAGAAACAGAGTAGTCCGTTCGTTCACCTTTGACTGTCAGATGGTGTTAAAGTGTAAAGTGATTGCAATAAATGCCTAATCCACAGCTTTTTACTTGCTTCAAATTGTGTGTTTACTGACTTTGGTATTTTTAAGAGTAAGGTGATTTGAAGACCTTCTCCTTACCTTAATAATTATGAGGCCGCTCACTAAGGGTTCAGGGAAATGGCTGTCCCGTCTCTCTCTCTTTCCGTGTTATTTGCCTGCTAATAAGTGGAATGCACTCTTGTGTCAAGGCTTTACCTGCAGTCACAGCCCCGGCCTCCTCCTCCCCAGGCAGTCTGCTCTTATTAGTTAATGAAATGCTCTTTAAAGGCGATGGGAAAGAAAAAAGCAGCCTGGCTCCAACCCGCTATCTGGCCCTGCTTGGGTTTCAAAACACCGTTGCCTAGACAGCCAATTTAGCAGGCCCGTCCACAAAAGCGCACACATCTGGTGATTAGATGTCCGATGTGCTCTTCACATGGAGCGTGGTCAGTTGATAGCTGAACCGGTGACCAGGTTAATTGTGTAAGATTAATCACGTAACCACGGTCATGTCATGATGACCCGCGTACAGCTTATCTGCCTGAGAATCGCGAGCATTAATAGGAGAGTGAGGGGGAATATATTAGGGTATTTTTAGTTTGTTTTAAGTTTCGCCCGTCTCTGTCCTTCACAGATGCCAATCATGAAGGGGCAGCGGAGTGCATCGAGAACATGGCTGATGCGGTCACGCATGCAAGATTCGTGGGCACCGACCCTGCAAGTGATGAGGTGGTGCTGATGAAAATCCTCCAGGTAACACACTCGATCACACAGACCACTTTCATCAAGATTTTGAGATGTCAAAATAAAACAAAATAATTTTTTTATACATGATTATTTTTTATTATTAATTCAACGCTAAGGATTTTTTCTACTGGTCTGATCGGGCAAGTGGTTTAGATTTTTACTTGCCCTGCCAAAATTTTAACTGGCCCCACCAAAAAAACAAAAAAAAAAAAGGGAAGTTAATAGCTATTTTTTAGCCACATATTTTAAATAATGTGTAAAAAATAAAGTCTGTGAATCTAGAATTTCAATACTTAAAAAAAAAACTGTAAATAAAAGTGTTATGCAAACAAAAAGAGCAGTATGGAAAATGTGGAGGTATTTTATTGGGGTTTAAAATTATTTAACAAAAGGTGGCTGACTTGTCAAACTTACGGCAAACTCGCTCACTTAATTTTTATTTTGTCGTGTTGTTCCCATGTAAATGTCTACTGCCAAGACGTTAGAAACAGACATTTTCTTTTAGCCTTATAATTTGATGTTGCCGCCATGTTGCTGTTTCTACGCTTTACTGTTTGTTACCAGGTTACAAAAAAAATTAGCACGATCAAATCAATCACACAAGAGGAACCGGAAAATAATATGTTGTTTACGACATTACAGAGAATGTAGTGTGTAAAGACTTAAAAGCACAAGCTTAAAATGCACGCTAATGACAAATAGTCACAGACAAGTTAAATGTTAGTGACAAGGCAGCACTGTCCCAATCGGGCCAGTAATGATCCGGTCTACTGTCCCAAGTGTCTCTCACGCTAGCCCTGGGCACCCGGGCAGTCCTTATTGTTGAGCCCTGTAATTATAAGTAGAGCCAGACTGAATCTGCGGACATTTTTTGCTATTTCTGTAGAGAATTTAGTAAAAAAATCTTTAGATTTATTCTGAATTATTTTGGGAGTCCCATAACTAAAAAGTTAATAAATCAAATAAAATAAGGGTAACACCAGCTTTTTCAATTTTCCAGCTGAGGCGGCAGACCTTTTACACAGGTGAACCAACTACCTATGGTGCTATTTCAATGACAAATGTCGTGAGCGCAGTATTACAAGTTGAGATCCCATTTATGTAATACGAGAATGCAAATCTTTTTGCTTGCGCACCAATTTCCTCGATTTAAAAACTTCTTGCACACCCTCAAATATAGGCTGCTCTATTGCAGATTTTCTTGTGCGCTCTCAAATAAATGCTGCTGAAGTGCAATTTAAGGCCAAGGCCGGCGCATCCATAGAGGCGACCTAGGCGGAATAGAGAGGGCAGCATCCCCGACACTACCCTCACCTCTTGCGCCTTCAGTTATATCCGCGTCTAGGGCTGCGTCCACTACACTACACTCACCACCCGCGCCCTTAGTTATATCCGTGTCTAGGGCGGCAGAAAAGAGAGGGCAGCACCCCCGACACTACCCTCACCTCTTGCGCCCTCAGTTATATCTGAGTCTAGGGCGGTAGAATAGAGAGGGCGGCGTCCACGACACTACCCTCACCACCCGCGCCCTTAGTTATATCCGCGTCTAGGGTGGCAGAATAGAGAGGGCGGCCTCCGCGACACTACCCTCACCACCCGCGCCCTTAGTTATATCCGCGTCTAGGGCGGCAGAATAGAGAGGGCGGCCTCCGCGACACTACCCTCACCACCCGCGCCCTTAGTTATATCCGTGTCTAGGGCGGCAGAATAGAGAGGGCAGCATCCCCGACACTATCCTTACCTCTTGCACCCTCAGTTATATCCGCGTCTAGGGTGGCGTCCGCGACACTACCCTCACCACCCACGCCCTTAGTTATATCTGCGTCTAGGGCGGCAGAATAGAGAGGGCGGCGTTCGCGACAGCTCCTTCACCTCCCTTGTGGGCGGCGTGACCGTCCTTTGCCTAGAGCGGCAGTTCAGCTTGCTCTGGCCCTATTTAAGGCTCATTCATACTTCTGTGTCAAGCGCACGCGTATGCTACTTTCATTTAAACTCAGACATTTTGGACAATGTCATGAAACCAACCCTTTCCTCTTCCAGTATGTCTGAACACCAGTGCACAAAACAAGGTCCATATATAGACAGGGATGTGCAAGTTTAGTGTGAAGGAACTTGACTGGCCTGCACAAAGTCCTGACCTCAACCCGACCAAACATCTGAGGGATGAATTAGAATGGAGACTGCAAGTCGGGCCTTATTCTTCAACATCAGTATCTGGCCTTGCAAATGTGCTTCTAGAAGAATGTTCAAAGTTCTTATAATCAAAATCCTAAACCTTGTGGAAAGCCATCCCTGAACAGTTAAAGCTGTTATAGATGCAAATGATTGGCCAAGTCCATATTAAACCCTGCAAATTAAGATCAGAGTAGCACATAAAGTTCATGTGATGATCATGTAAAGGCAGATGTCTCAAAACATTTGGCAATGTAGTGTTTGTCTGTGTGTGCGTCTTTTTGTGTGTGTGTGTGTGTGTAGATAATGTCTATGATAGGCATCCAGATAAATGGCTTCAGTAAAGTTGATGTTTTTCTTAATATTATTTCTAGGTTTTGAGGACTTTGCTATTGACTCCTGTTGGAGCCCATCTCACCAATGAGTCTGTCTGTGAGATCATGCAGTCCTGTTTCCGTATATGCTTTGAAATGAGATTAAGTGGTAAGTAAAATGAAGTTCTTAGAAATAAATCTTACTTTCAAACAAATCAAGAGAAAAAAATGTTTAAGTAAACTGCAAATAGCTTTGGATAAAAGTGTCTGCCTCTCAATATACACTGTTGAACTTCTCGGTATGCAGGGATGCAAACTTCACTTTTTTATAGAAATTTGCTGTTTTTCATCCAAGAAATGTCATTATTGTTAGTTGTCTAAATCTTAAGAGTTATGGTGAAGGCTGAAAAAAGTGATTTCTAAGCTCTTCTTGCATATCTTAAAGTAAAGCTAGCTGAACTTTAGTTGGCATAAATAACGGTGCTGTTTGTCCATCTTGGAGCTGTTAATTTTGCTCTGATTTAGCGTTGTTAATATTAGATTATTAGATTCAGTGTAATTTCCACTGAATCTAGTTTTAGCTAATGTAGGTTTTTCTCTACAATATTATTATTATTATAAGTTTACTCGCATCAACGTTGCTAACAAATTCAACTTCAATTGAACTTTACTATTTTATATTGTCCCAACCACAATGAAATTAAACGTTTTGAATCAGGTTGAATTTGTGCCAGCTGTGATTGGAAATCAGCTGCCATAGGTAACAATAGCTATGTTTCCATCCACCTATTTTTATGCGCATATGCATTAAAAAAAAAAAACGGACTGATGGAAACACCACGATTCTCATAAATTTTTACGCATAACTGAGTAGGATACACTTTTTATTCGATAAAAGATGCGCATAAACTATGATGGAAACAATTTTACCGCATAAATTTTAGTATGCGCATGAAAAAAGGTCATGTGATTTTGTTATAAGAGATCATGTGATGATGAAAATGTGTATGAATGGACAAACCAGCTGGCTGAGCACAATGTAGAACATCTGAATTGTTGTTTTGGTCATTCTAAAACACCTTACCTTAAGTATCAGCGTTATTATGTTGTTAATGACCTCCAGATTCAAGAGCGTCTGTGCTCCGCGTCTGACACCTTCAAACGCCACCGCGCGCTCACTGCCTGTCAGGATTGCCTTCTGAGGCGCAAGTCATTTATTAGGTGAAAAAAAGATTGACGCAGCTTCACCTACTGCAGCAAATTCAGTTTTTACTGTTAATAATAGGTGCTAGTTCATCGGGAAGTGACGAATTTGTTCGATTTGACTCGTTGGATAGAAACGCAGCTTTATTCGCACATCTTTCATGCGATAATCCAGTTTTGCGCATGAAGTTCATTCGCATTTTAGGAAGGAAGCATAGCTAGTGTCAGTTCACTAGCCAGTCTGGTGGGTTATTTTTCCCTAATTATGTCAATTCAGTTTGCTAAAATTTGTGCAGGATTAGCGCACACTCAACTCATCAAACTAAGATTAAATAATACCAAGTTGCACAGAACCTGCTTTTTTTTTTTTTTTTTTTTGCTTGTTCCAAGACGAGCGTACATGTGTCAGCAATAAATAAAGCTAGTGGGAGTTTTTAGTATGCCCTGGCTAGTTGTATATTTATGATATCATTTATTTTGTTTGTGGTGTTTGATTTTCTTTCACTTTATTCATTATAGTATGTTTATTTTGAGTGCATAGGCTGATACCTGATATTGAGGTATAAATACTTTTTTTATAAATTAATATTCAAGCTAAATAACTTTTGGTGTAACAATCAAGTTTATAAAACATTGTTTAATGTTTAATTATGTAATATCTGTATTGCTCACTAGATTGCTATCATTTCCTATCAGAAATACAATACAATCAGTAATATTGTGCGGCATTTACATACAGAAAAACTGCATACAATTAGAATAGTTTTGTAGTTTTAAACTATTTAATATTATAATTACAATGGTCCCTTGTTATTCGCAGAAGTTACATTCTAAAACTAACCCACATTAGCCAAAATCCACGTAGTAATCATCTTTATTTTTTACAATTATGATAAATATATATGTAAATAAAGGCTGTAAAACCTCTCACTACACACTTTATACACTTTTCAGACAGGCATGAACATTTTCACACTTTTCTTTCATTTAAACACTCTCAAAGTTCAAACCTTCATAAAAAAATAAGTCCAGATTGATTGACTATGGTCTACAGCCAGTTAGCCAGAACACAATGCTCTGTAGAAAAAAGCATGTGAATTACCTAAAAAAGTTTGCGAGACTGTGAAAAGCGAACCTCGTTATAGTGAGGGACCACTGTATTTAAAATATACTACTGTGATGGATTTTACTTTAGTGTGTTGAATATACAATTAATTCAGGTAAAAAATGCATTAAAAAATATATATATATATAATCTCCTATAACATCATGCATTTCACCTTTGATGTGTTCTTGATGAATAAATTAGTATTTTTAAAACACCAACTAACTAAATAGGCAGGTTCGATTAGGCAAGTCAAACAGTGTGGACAACAGTGGTTTGTTCTGTAGCCAATAAAAAAATACACACACACACACACACACACACACACACACACACACACACACACACACACACACACACACACACACACACACACACACACACACACACACACACACACACACACACATACACAGTTGAAGTCAGAATTATTAGCCCCTATACCCCCCATGGAATTTTCTTTTCTAAATATTTCCCAAATTATATTTAACAGAGCAAGGACATTTTCACAGTATGTCTGATAATATTTTCTTCTATAGAAAATCTTATTTGACAGATTTTGAGATGTCAAAATTTTTTTAAAGTTTTTTTTTTTTTAATATATATACAGTTGAAGTCAGAACTATCAGCCCTCCTTTAATTTTTTAATTTTTATTTTTTTTCCTTTTTAAATAATGTTTAACAGAGCAAGGAATTTTTTACAGTATTAAAAATTTTGATTATATTTTTTTCTTCTGGAGAAAGTCTTATTTGTTTAGTTTTGGCTAGAATAAAAATTGTTTTACATTTTTTTAAACATCATTTTAAGGTCAATATTATTAGCCCCTTTAAGCTATATATTTTTTCGATAGTCTACAGAACAAACCATCATTATACAATAACTAATTACCCTAACCTGCCTACTTAACCTCATTAACCTGGTTAAGCCTTTAAATGTCACTTTAAGCTGTATAGAAGTGAAAATTGAAAAGTAAAAAATATCTAGTGTTATATTATTTACTGCCATCATGGCAAAGATAAAATAAATCAGTTATTAGAAATGAGTCATTAAAACTATCATGTTTAGAAATGTGTTGAAAAAAATCTTCTCTCCGTTAAACAGAAATTGGGAAAAAATATACAGGGGGGCTAATAATTCTGACTTCAACTGTATGTATATATATTTTCACGTGTATATATACACACACACACACACGAATAAATATATATATATATATATATATATATATATATAATTTATTTATTTATTTTTAATAAAAAAAAATCTTTTATTTATTAAATTTTTCATAATATTGACCATAGCAGTTTTAAAAAATGTGTTTTAGTTAGGCTGTAATCTCCTATTAGTTTGGCTGTAAAAAAAGCCAAACACCACTTGGCTAATATTTGAAAATGACGGAAAATTTCACATTAGAGCTAATAAATAGATATGACGAAAAGTTTGCATCCCTGTATATGTGAATCTGCCTTTTTTGGTCTCTGGACTGCAATAGACCTCTGCTCTAATCCTGACCAAACAAAGACTGGACTCTGAGCCCCCGAGGTGCTGCTCTTGTCTTCCGAACTAACCTTTCCCTTTTCTTTTTCTCTTGTTTTTCTTTTCTTTCTGCTTTTGCTCTTTTCTCATCACAGAACTGTTGAGAAAGTCAGCTGAGCACACGCTGGTGGACATGGTGCAGCTGCTCTTCTCCAGGTAACTAGAGAGAGAATGGAAGAAGGGATGTAGGGATGGGGGGGGATTAGGAGCAGAGTCGTGTTCTTGCTGTTCACATAATCAAACCGAACCTGAGACCAAACACAACAGGAACTGGGTCTGTCGCTGTAACAGGCTCCGATTTCACTCTCAGGCCTCTCTCAATTACCTCCGGAGGTTTCCGACTTCCCCCTCACACGCAGACAGGGACAGGTGAAAGCATCAGTCTCTGACAATGCAAAGCATGGCTAATTAACAGGCCCACACAGAATCTGCCCACGCTGACCCCTTTTTTGTGTAGGGGCGGTGGGGAAAATAGTTACAAATTCAAATGAAAAAGGACCAGTACCAATTGCTGCGTCCTAAATTTGCATAATATCCATCCTAAATAGTATTCAAAAATAGAATTATGTCCCAAACCATAGAAAAAAATCATTCATACTTTGAAAGGAGCATGCCCAAGGTTACGGGAAGGTCTACTATTTCAAATAGAAATTCAAAGCGTCAGTAGTCTACCTGCTAATATTACCCAAAATACACTGTGCATTGGATGTAAATTCAATTAGAACTATAAACTTGGTTAGAAAGTTTAATCAATTTGCGTAATATCCATCCTAAATGGTATTTAAAATTAAAATTATGTGCCAAACCACAGAAAAGACTGATATTTTGAGAAGAGTATGTCAAAGGTTACCGGATGGTCTGCTATTTCAAATAGAAATTCGAAGTGTAGAAGTTTCCGTAGTCTAACTCCTAATTTTGCCCATAATGCACTGTGCATTGGACGTGAATTCAATTAGAACTACAAGCTTGGTTAGAAAGTGTAGAAATTCGAAGTGTAGAAGTGTCCGTATTATAACTCCTAATATTGCCCATAATGCACTGTGCATTGGATGTGAATTCAATTAGAGGTACAAGCTTGGTTAGAAAGTGTAGACAAACTACAAACATGGTGGATGCGCGAGACCAATGGTCAAGTAGAGTTTGAATCGCTGTTAATTATTATCTAGTCAACTGTAGCTAAATCATTATAAGTCACATTTATCGTAATATATTTTATCTGCAGCAACAATGTGAACTTATTTAAAGACGTTGACTTCTGATTGTATAGTATAGGTTTTCTTTGCGAAAGACTCATGAATAGCAGATTAAACCTTTGCTGTCTCCAATAAGGATGGTAATTCAATATGAAAGAAATGGGGATGATTTGTTGAGATGTATAACTGGGGACATAACTTAGCAACATAACAGTCTGTAAATGCAGAGTAGTATGTCCCAAAGCTTGCATACTTTTCTGTTATACACTCACAAGTATGTTTCAGGACGTAGTATAAGTATGCAAATTAAGACGCAGCACATGTTTTTGTGATTTGTTTTTGAATGATTTTGAAGTCGCTGGTGCTCACAGATTCTGCAGTTATTCTTTAACAAATTGGTGATATTGTTGAGATAAGGATACAGTGTATCCAGGAGGTTATTATCAGGGCCAGACAGAATCTGTGGACTTTTTTTGCTATTTATGCGGAGAATTTTGGCAAAAATCTGCAAATTTCTGGGGAATTATTTTGGGAGTATCATAACTACAACCTTAATAAGTGAAATAAAAAGTAATACCTTTTAAACTTATATTTAATGTTAAATTGCAAATCTAATTAGATTCACTTTATTTTGTAAACAAAGCAAGTCTCTCATATAATATATCTAATAAAAGACAGAAAATATTGCTTTACAAACTGCATTATAAATCAGATAAACATTTTCATATTAGTCAATAATATTACTGTAATTAATTAAAAAACTAAATCAATTTAGATTTACACACATTTACTCAAGTAAATAAACAGAATTAACGATGGACTAAAAATCTGCGGAATTCTCCGGAAAATCTGCAGAATTCTGGCTGCGTAGATTCTGCGTGGGCCTAGTTATTATTGCAGAATAAAGCCTGACGGGCTTATCAGTAGGTCAATGCAAAACAAAGAATCAGTTGAAATAAAACTAACCTATGTATTGTTCATGTACAAGACAAATAGGCAAAAAAAAAAAAAACCCGCAATGTGACAAACAAGCAGATACAAATAAATGTGGATGTAAGTATATAGATGTAAACGTTTTCAGTGACAGTCAAGTTGATTCAAAGTTCCCGAATAAGTCTGCATTATTTAGCAGTTGTTATCTCGGGATAGCTGGTTTATAAATCTGAACTAATTTCTGTAGTTCAAACAACTCAGAATTGTAGTTGTTTCTGTCATAACAGCCCACACATTAAAAATATAGTCTGGATTAAATCAGGCTCAGGCTCATAATTAGAGTTTAGTGTTGGATCGCATTGGGCTTGGGCACAAGGTGAACTGGTTATGGATAGGGTTGGTTTTTTTGCACCCAATCTAAGCTCTTGTTTTGATGCTAAATTAACTAACACAGGGGTTCTCAACCTTTTTCACTTTTGGGCCTACTTTTTTCTCCGATCAATTTTTAAAGGCCCACCTGTTTGACATTTTCTCTAAAATGTTTGTATGAAATGCTCATTTAAACCTTTATTTATTAACATACATGAAACGCGTCAATCTGATGGCAGTTGAGTTTGCAGCTGGATATTATTGGGAGATCACTGACAGGAACAGTAAACAGCGGCCTGAGTGCATCTGAAGCTGTTATGCAAGTTTATTTTACATTCTATGGCAGAAACACCATTGAGCCTCGCTAGATCCTCCTGTATTGGCGCACATCCATTATAAAACACTCATATGACATTAATTTGGTCAACTATGCGAGTAAATTAAACAGTTCACAATAAAATACACAAAGTAAGACTTTCACTTCATGCATAGTTTGTGAATGAACAGACTTGCGTGTACTAGTTGCAGACGCGATCATGAGGCTGTTTTTGCGCCAAGATTAAAGTAATTGATTGATTGATTCAATTCAGCTTTATTTGTATAGCGCTTTTACAATGTAGATTGTGTCAAAGCAGCTTCACATAAATGGTCATAGTAACTGGATCAGGGTAGTTCAGTATTTAGTGTTCAAGTTCAGTTCAGTTTAGCTCAGTTCAGTGTGGTTTGAAGTCATTACTGAGAGTCCAAACACTGAAGAGCAAATTCATCGGTGTAGCTTTTCAGATCCTGAACCATGCAAGCCAGTGGCGACAGCGGAGAGGGAAAAAAAACTTCACCAATAGGAGAGTGAAGAAAAAAAACCTTGAGAGAACCAGGCTCAGTTCGCCACGACCATTTTAATTTCTCCGCTGGCCAAAGTCTTGTGCAGTAATCAATCGTTTGAAATAATCAATCGGAAAACAAGAGAAAGTGCATTACTTCGATTTTTTTCTTATATGAAGCCCCAAAATTATAGTATAATATTGAGATTTTATCTTGTGATCCATGTGCATGATTTCTAAGGCCAACTAGTGGGCTGCGGCCCACCAGTTGAGAATCAATAATCTAAAGTATATATTTTTCATTTCTCTTCTTTTTGTCTCTCTGTCAGTAAGGCCTAATCCCAATTCTACCCCTTAGCCCTTTCCCTTACCCCTACCACTCATTTTGTGCATTCAAGTGAAGAAATAGTGGTGTTCCAATTCTCTTTAGCTTTAAGACATAGGGCTAAGGAGAAGAGCTAGATGGCCCTTGAGATTTTTAAAAACCACACTTAAAACCAAGGGGTATGAACATTTACCAGAAAACACCCTCTACAACAGCAGCATGGCTGCACACGGAAGTCAGGAGATGCACAAATCAGTATTTTGTAGGCATGTAGCGGTATCAGAATTTCACGGTACGGTAATACCTCGTTATAAATGGCACGGTACGGTATTTATTGAATAATTTACAGGAAAAACTAAACTAATGAAAAAGTGCCAAAAGTGTTTATTTACCTTAGCACTGAACATATCAGTGACATACAATTTAGCCATCTATCTGTAAGTTTCGAAACAGGAACTTCAATTTTTCAATTTTAATAACAAAAAACTATTAAACCATATAAAAAATAGTTTCAATTTAGTATTGTTGAATACTTATCACATTCAACATTTAATCACTCGCTCACTTAGATAGAGATGGGTTTTTTAAGGAAAATTATCATATAGCTATAATCTGGTAAAAGCTGGGATCTCTGGGCATGTCCCCTGGAACAGAAAAAAAACCCTCTCATTTGGGATGAGAGGTTTCTGGGACAGAGAGATATGATTTAGCCAAGGTTGACAGCAGTGGGTAACGTTGTGCATTGTCTTTCCACCACTTGAGAGGACAAGCCATGAGTGAGATAGAGGTCTACTTGCGGTACAAGTCAATGTCTGCATCTAACAAGTGTGCTGTGTTCTGCAGTCCCCATGACTGTTTTTAGTCGTATTCCCCGACTTATATTTCACCACAGTCTGGCAGTGCCTGCATATTGTTTTTTTTTCTTAGTCTGTCACCTTTTCTCCTTTTTTGTATCTTTTTAGAAAGAAACCGAAATGCTTCCACACATCGGATTTAAAACCCGCTTTAGGTTTCATCATTTCCAGCTCTTTTTCTTCCCCGCTACTAGCAGCACACTCCATTTCCGCATTACTGGATCTGTAGTGACAACAGACAAAGGATGATGGCCACGCCTAGGCTGATGGGAATTGTAGGTCCCGCTATCTCCCGTTCGCTTCATTCGCCTAAGCAAACTTTTCACAGAAATATAGTTTTGAGTCATGCGCCTACGGTAATATTAAAAAAAATTACTATTGTGGAATGACGGTATTTACAATATTGTTACATCCCTAGTATTTGGTCATTATTTTTAATTTTTTTTACTACAAACAAACATATGGTTTAATATATTCATAACTGCGTTTGGGTTTTACCATCAAGGTTTAAAAAAAAACAAACGCTAAAATAAAAAACGCTACATTTTGCTATCTATAATCTCTAATAATAACTCCTGTATAGCAGTCCCACGACAATCTGTCACTCGATGACACTTGAAGCAAGAGATTGCGATGACATGATGACAAGTGCTGGTGTTGTAGTGCTGTTCCATTTCATAGGGGTACGTTTTGAAGCCCTTTCCTTCACACTCAAAGGCCAAGGGAAAGGGGTACAAAAATAGAATCGGGATTGGGCCTAAATCATATTTAGTCTTAAAAGTTCTAAATAATACTGCAGTAAAGTTATTCAGCAAAATCCTACAGGCGTTCTCCCTCAATCAGTGCGTAAAATTCGAAAAAGGTTGGCATTCCACCTGGGTCTACTTTAGAAGCTTAAATTATTCATAATGTCATTTGTCTTTGGCAGAATAGTAAGAATATTACATCCCAAGGTGATATTCGAACGCTGCATGTTCTACGTTAAAGAATTAGGAGTATTATTTGCAGACATACAGTAGTTTGCTGACATCATTAGTTCAGTGTAGTCATGAACACTCTGATAATGCCTTCTCTTAAATTTTAATTCACATCTAACTGGCAGTTCTATGATGGTGGTGTAATTGTGAACGGAAGCCCTTAGTCTTCTGCGCAGGTCATAGTGTACTGCTGCTCTAATGCAATAACATGATTATGGGGTGGCATTTATCAGAGGTGCGTCTCCACTCGCATTAGACTTCCAGTCACATCCCGCACAGACGAGAGGATGAGACCGCGGAGCACATCTCACTCTACCCATCTGCATATAGATTAGACACACGCACACACACTCACATTCACACATGTGCATGCAACAGAGACATAATGACCAAATTCTGTCTTTTATGAAAAGCTGAATCGAAACGCATCGGACGATATTTCTTGCGTTAAAGCGTTTGAATAATTTTACATCGCTTTGACCTGGTTTCAAACCATGTAAACATCCCCTATTTGTTTTTATAATTCCACGCACTGTAAATGTCCTTCAGATCTGAAGTGTTCATTAATCATTTTTAATTATAGCCAACAACACATTTTAATCTTACATGCACGCACGCACATACAAACACACAACCTGAGATTGCCGCTCCCATTGTGCACGTTCTTATTACCCAGACCCTCTTGTCCACGTCGCTTTCACAATGAGGGTGTGAAAGGCCTTAATAATGAGTGTGTGTATTTCTGTGTGCCTAAGGGTAATAAGCGGCGAATGTAGTGTGTGTGTGTGTGGTCGAGAGAGCCCGAGTAATGAACAGCGGATCTTATTGAGTGCTCAGAAGGAGGCTTAAGCAGCCCGCTGAAAGCATTAGGGATGTTAATCTGTTGGACTCACAGATCATCCCATAATCAAGCCGGCAAGACAACACTCCATTAACGCGGAGCAGAGTTAACATCGGGAGCCGTCTCTCCCAGCCTCAGCGCTGACATCTCACTCCGAGGAAAAGCCGCAGTGTCCACACAAACACGATCACACAGACAATGCCTTCTGCCTGAGAACATCATCCATCTAATTCAGCTAATGAATCAGAACAGGGGGTCAGAAGTCGCGACCTCGGACACAAAGATGCAGAGTCTCTGGACATATTGCCTGTCTTCAGTGTTTCTCAGAGCGGTCATCATTCCAAATGTGTTAATTAAACTGCGCTTTTGCGAAAGTTTTAATTATACACTATTTTAAAAATCTGGTAACCATGACCAGTTTTGTCCAAAAAAAATAATTTACACTGTAAAAAAATCTGTTAATTAATAGTTTCCATATTTTGTGATTCACAAGCAGTAGTGGAATGAGTACTGCAACATCACGCTTAAGTAAAAGTGCCGTTACTTGCCTAGAAGTGTAGTGCAAGTAGAGTAAAAGTATCTGTTGTAAATATTACCAATATAGACCTTTTAAAAGTACTCAAGAGTAGTGAGTATTATGCTGTAAAAAGCAGGTGCATTTACATGTAATTTGTGGATGTGTGTAAACGTAACATTCTGTAGTGCATTTAGTTATTGCCCAGGAGGCACACAACGTCATAAGACATTAATATTAGGTTAGATTTAGGTTGTGATGTCAGGAGACCACAGTTCAAAGTCTAGCAAGTGTCTAGGGACAGCGTTATTTTGATGTCCAATAATGACGTCAAATGACGTTGATTTTAGATTGTGTTGGAAAGTGACCAAAATCCAACATGGAGCCAACATCTTAAACCAACGTTACTGACATCAAATACTGACATTTATTCGTCAGGTATAGCAACCAAAATCTAACATCTGATTGACGTCATAGTAGAGCTGCACGATTCTGGCTAAAATGAGAATCGTGATTTTTTTTAACTGAAAATCAAGATCACGATTTTCTCACGATTCTGTAGATGTAAAATAAAGCTTAATATGAGTCGGCAATTATTATTGTTTTTCTCAAACATATGGTAAAACAACAAGAATATTATGTGTAGGTCTACTGGTTTCTATAAATAATTCTATTCTACTTATAATAATTCTGATTTTGAATTATATTTGAAATATGCTTGCATTCATTGACAACATTATTAGACCATTTAATTCACTGGTAAAATCAACTTTATTTAGGCTAGAGTAGTTATACTTGCACTGTAAACATTTATTTTCATGCACAACTATGTGTTCGCTATGAAAGAAAAAGCAGATCAAATGCTTGTCGCAGTCATAACTCTAAAATGCGATTATTTAAATGATGTGCACGTTTTCGGTTTCATTTTCACTGCCGCGTGCTGTTCATACTTCACGCGCGGCACCCAAACGATCACTCTGTGCCACAAACTCAATATTATTTACAACTTTATCACCTGTAACTCACAGCAGGTTCTGTTCACTAAAGGAGACGCGCGTACGTCTTTCATTAAGTAGAGCACGCACCCGCCCTACAGTTCACGGTCAGCAGCTCACGTCACGTGTGATTTCCCGGCCGCGAATACAGCATTATATGAAGACGAAAATGACAATTTTAGTTGAATTATACCTTATAAATACAGTATGTGACTCAGTCAACATCATTTGGAGGTGTTCATGGATGTGAAAGAATAAGAAGACTCGTGCGGCCGCTTTTTTCTTCTCTCCTGAACTTGAAAATATGATTGGCAGAATCGTAGAAATACTGGATTAAGATCGTCTAGGGCAGTGGTGCTCAACCCTGTTCCTGGAGATCGACCTTCCTACAAACTTCAGCTCCAACCTTGATCAAACACACCTGAACCAATTAATTAGGACCTGAACAGCACTTGATAATTACTGGCAGGTGTGTTTGATATAAGTTGCAACTGAAATCAGCAAGAGTGTCGATTTCCAGGTACAGGGTTGTTCACGCCTGGTGTAGGGGGTCGAATCGGGATCGCAATCTTTTTTCGATTAATTGTGCAGCTCTACGTCATAGTGGTTACGTCAACGTCAAGCTGTAACATAATATATTGGTTCCATTGGTTTATTATTGTTATTCATTTGGGCGGCTTAAATGCTTTGTGGGTGAGTTATTTGTCACTATTTAAAACGGACCTGTAAAAAAATAAAAAATTAAACTTGTTGCTATAAATGCATTCAAATATCTAGCAAACTGTAACGCATGTACGTGTGTCTCTGCAGATTGCCACAGTTCAAAGAGGAGGCCAAGAGTTATGTGGGCACTAACATGAAGAAGGTAAATATAAAATCCTTTTTGCTATCCATTCTCCCCTAGTCCCTCTACACCTGTTTCCCATCTGCCTTCTCATTTCCTTTATGAGCTTTGTTACGTAGAGGTCTTCATACCCATAAGTGAGGTCAGTTGCTGTTGCATAATTATTATACCTGTGTGTGTATGCGCGTGCGTGTCATCCATCAGGTCACAAAATAGAAAGTAGTAGTGAGAGTTAACAGTGTTTCACAGCTACTGTCGATTCTTTATTTGAAAGACTTCTGCTCCTTTTCATTGCAGTTATTCAAGGATTAGAATCTTCTTTCTTTTCATACCTGTTTGTTGTCTTTGAGTTCATCCTTTACCCGTTTGCCTGTTCCAACTCGCAGATCCCAGGCTGTATTCTGGACGCACAGGATTTTATTTATGCAGATCAGCCTAGAAACACCAATCAGACGGGCTTAGAGAGGGTATAGCACATTTCCATGCATTAAAACAGCAGTTTTTTTTTTCATTGGGTTGCAGCTAGTGCATTTAAATACGCTGGTGCGCATGGCCTTATGTTTGAATGCATGGTGGGGAGTGGAATGAGGGAATGAGATAGATAGATAGATAGATAGATAGATAGATAGATAGATAGATAGATAGATAGATAGATAGATAGATAGATGATAGATGGAAGGATGGATGGATGGATGGATGGATGGATGGATGGATGGATGGATGGATGGATGGATAGATAGATAGATAGATAGATAGATAGATAGATAGATAGATAAATAGATGGATAGATAGATAGATAGATAGATAGATAGATAGATAGATAGATAGATAGATAGATAGATAGATAGATAGATAGATAGATAGATAGATAGATGGATGGATGGATAGATAGATAGTCTAAATGGTTTGTAGTAATCATTATTGTGCCACTGATGTTGGTGAAAGAGCTCAACTAAAACAAAACATCTCTTTCAAAAAAAAAAGGAAGTGCACAAGTGGCTCTTCCTATAAATTGAATTAAACCTGTAAAACAATCTCTCATGTATTGTGAATATGGAAAAATTAGGGTTTGTGAATAATACCTCATTTGAGTGTGAAGTGAAATTGGAGCAAAGCATCAGTCTAACGAAAGGCTTTCTGGTGAACCGTCATGTAAACAATGTAACATAGTTTAGGTCCTGCTTTTTATTTCATGCAAAGAGAGTTTAGGTGAGGTGAAGCCACATCAGGACGTTTATTTTCATATTTTCATTTTAATTCCATAGTTTCATTTGAATGTCACTTTCTGTATTTGACTGTATATTCATTTGAGTGTTTATTATTTTCTTTTAAACCCAGAAAACCTGTTTGACTGCTATTTTTGCATGCTCTGTGTGTTCCTGGTCTGTTCATAGCTTCCATTATCTTTTTCCTTGGTTGGTCTCCCCGATTTCTACATGTTTATTTGTAACGTATGCTGAGGTGCTACTCCCCCACTTTCCTGTCAGAGATGCATTGGGATACTGTCATTGAATGGGTGTTTTCTGATAGCGAGTTTATGTGTGTGCGTGCATGGATGTCGTCCTGGTATGCGTGTGGTTTTCTCCCATGCATGTAGTTCTATATGTGTTCCATGTCATGCGTCTCCCTTTGAGCTTAAGACATGTCCATCACTAATCACGGGGCCTGCCCCTTCTCTCCTGAGGCTTACAATATCTTATGGAAAAACAAACGAGTGCAGGTAAGGAAGAAGAGTTTGCTGCAGATCAAACTCCCTTTAACTTTCTAGTACTCCATGTACTTAAAGGATTAGTTCACTTAAAAATGAAAAATGTTATTAATTACTCGCCCTCATGTCTTTCTAATTCCCTAAGATCAAAGTCCATCTTCAGAAAACAAATAAAGATATTTTAGATGAAATCAGAGAGCTCTCTCATCCTCCATAGACAGCTAAAGCCTTTTTTAAAACATTCATTGTGACTTCAGTGGTTCAACTGTAATCCTATGAAGCTCCAAGAACACATTTATTGCAAAAAATAAAAAAAATCTGTCAACAACTGTTTTTCTAGTGTCTGCTTTTGCTCATCGAGATGTGCAACGGGCAATTGAATGCTTGTGCGTTGTTCCGCTCACGCTTATATCAATATGTTACGATTTAAAAGATGTTAAATAAAGGGGAAGAGGAGTAACATTAACTTTTGGGTGAAACACATAAGCAACCACACAACATCAATAAATGAGGGACAAAACCAAGACCAGCTAAATGCAATACGTGATTTTATTTACAAAAATAGTGATAATAATGAATGCCAAAAAAATGTATATAGAAAGATTCTTGAATATTTACAAAGAGACATTGAATTTCACAGATAACAAATGACATAAGATGTTTGACCAGATATGGGAGAGTTGGAGAAATGAGACGCGGGCGGCATCCAAACAATAAAAATAAATAAAACAAAAGCAATCTATTTGGCCCAATCTCTACCCTATCTATCCAAAATAAAAATGCAGAAGTTATTGAAAAGAATCTTCGCGTCTAATACGCACTACCTAACCTACGCTGATCTCTGATGGGAAAACCAAAAGTACAGTGGGTGGAGCACGCCCCTTACCTAGTGTGTCTAATACAGAGATATTCAAGCTACTTGTGCACAATGTATGTCGCACGACATTCTTACCTGTCCCACTCTCCAACCTCAGATGCGCATGACATCGACGGTAGACAAATGGAGAACAAATAACGGACAGATACCAAATTGTAACACACAGTAGACATATATCAAAAAACACAGACACACAGCACAACACAGAAATTTAGGGCCTCCAGTGTAGCATCCTGTCATCACTTTTATGCCACGGTGGCAGCGGCTGGATTGGAGACCTTGGATGACGTCAAGGGGGGCACGGCAAACAGCTGGGGAGCGGTAGCCAATCGGAGCCACTGTATAGGTGGAAGCGGGTGAGAGGTAGAGAGCAAGCGAGCACGGAGAGAGAGAGAGAGAGAAAGAGACTAGCGAGAAAAAAAATATATATATAAATAATAATTACGCAACACAGAAATGTACAGGAATGTAACACAATATGTCACACTGCCTGTAATAAATGTGCACCCTGTAGTGTAAGAGAAGCTTTTTTTTTGGCTCATCAACGTGTTCATGGAGTTTAGTTTGTCTACAGTTGAGCCACTGAAATCACATGGAATGCTTTGACAATGTTTGTAGTTGAACACCTCTGGACTGCTGTCTATGGAGGATGAGAGAGCTCTTAGGTTTCATCTAAAATAGGGATGCAGCGATCCCGATACTTTAATTTGCTATTGGTTGGATACCGCATATTTTTGCTGGATCGGGTATTGGCCAGCTGGATCCAAATCAGATCTTGCGCATGCGCTATATTCTGTGTAATTTATAAGCCATTAAAATAATATGTTATCTTAAAATACGTTTCTGTTCTCTCATCCCACTGACTGAGTTTATTATTTCAAAGGGAATACTTTAGGTGCTGTGAAAAGATGGTAAAGCCTGGCTCATTGTGTTCAAAGTAGTTGATTAAATTATTAAAAGTAAAACTGACTGTCCCGAGCTTGTGAATTGTCATTGGCTACTCTGAAACTGAATATTTCACTGTAATTTTATTTATATTAATATTATATTAATATAACAGACCAGTTTGTCAGATTGTGTGCTGAAGCATAGAAGTGGTCCTCGTTTTGAACTTCACCTCAAATGTTCTTGTTTATTTTGTAGGTAACTGACCAACAAAAATACATTAAAATAACCAACAAATTATACCAAACGAAATTCATTTAAAAAAAGATTTTTCAGACAAAAAAATATTTTTTCAGACATGCTTTCAGTTTCTACATCACCCTCACGGCGAGTTTAGTTAAGTAAAACTGGCCTCAGATGGTTTAGTTTAGTCTGCTTCAAACCTGCAGGAAAATATCAGGCTTTGCTAAAAGGAATAAAAAAAAATAAAAAAAACAGTACAGTATCAGGATCCGATCGGTTCCTTAAAAATGGTATCAGTCCATCCCTAATCTAAAATTTCTTCATTTGTGTTTTGAAGATGAACAAAAGTCTCGGGGGATTAGAAAGACATGTGGGTGAATAATTAATAACACAATTTTCATATTTGGGTAAACTAATGCTTTAACCTATGACAGCATTTTGACAATGTTACTGGTGCAGGTTGAAGTTATATAACTCTTGTTTTATGGTCTCAGTGGGTTTTTTGGAAGGTAGAACACACTGAGATAAACAGTAGATGATTGGTTTCAGTAACATGCTTGTTTTAGGGCATTTTAATGTACATAGTTCTGTCACCTATGCATTGCAGAGTTTCCGGCATTCTTTAGTGCGTATCTCAGTCTAGTTCCTCCACAGAAGAATTTTTTCTTTAAACAAGAACCCCTAAAACCTTAAAGACGGGACCCAATAAGTAATAAATTGTCTTCTTTTGATGTCATTAGGGTGGTTTATTTTGTTCCTGATAGCTTAAATTCCTATGATTTTACTAAGAACTCTATTGTAGCAAGTATTTTGCGGCTCATCCGCTCTCTATGCTCTGAAAATCATAATAAACACATATGCATATTCTGGCTGCAATTTTATGAAGATCATCAGTGTTTTATTGCCTGAAGTGAGTGTGCCCATGGTTGCCAGATTGGGAAGATTTAGTAAAATGTTTAGTGCATAGTTTGTCTATGTAAGAGTACACTTTAAAAATGCATAGTTCCACACAATACACTCGTGTTGTCCCAAAACAATTTAAGTTAGTTAAACAAATCTAAGTGAATTGAACATAAAACAATGAAGAATTTAAATAAATGTGTTGTTTCAGCTCATTTTAAATAAGTAGACTAAACAAGCAGCAAAACTTTTTTTTTTTTTTAATAAACTGGCAACTAACAAAAAAGCGAAAAAACTTGACATCTGACAGCCATGCATATCAAAGCACATGAAGTCTTGCTACCAATTAAGATACTGGACTGCCAAATGAAAAATGGGGTTTTCAGCATGAAGTCAGTTTGAGTCAGCATTGTACACTTTTATATACAATGTTATATATATATATATATATATATATATATATATATATATATATATATATATATATATATATATATATATATATATATTGTAACACTGTTATATTCAACCCAAATGCGATTCAGTGATCCACAAAAATGGAATTGTTTACTTCCCTTAAAACAACTTTAAAAAAATTACAATGTGACAAAAAAAGAATAGGAGGCTGTAAAAGTGGGTGAGCGATGTTGCAGTTTTTCTTTTCATTTTTTTTGGAAGTAGAAACTGGCAACAGTTTGCATTTGTACAGTGGTTTTGTCTTTATTTGAAAAGAAAATCCTACCATGATGGTCAGTTAAAAAAAACATAGTTCTAAAACTTTTTTTCATCAGCAATTGTTACCATGAACGTGCTAATTTGTTAGTATACACTCACCGAGCACTTTATTAGGTACACCTGCCCAACTGCTCATTAATATCTAATCAGCCAATCACATGGCAGCAACTCAATGCATTTAGGCATGTAGACATGGTCAAGATGATCTGCTGCAGTTCAAACCGAGCATCAAAATGGGGAAGGAAGGGGATTTAAGTGACTTTAAAGTGGCATGGTTGTTGCTGCCAGATGGGTCTGAGTATTTCAGAAACTGCTGATCAACTGGGATTTTCACGCACAACCATCTCTAGGGTTTACAGAGAAAGGTCTGAAAAAGAGAAACGGTCAGAATTTTGGCATCAACAACATGAAAGAATGAATCCATCCTGCTTAAAATCGATAGTTCAGGCTGGTGGTGGTGGTGTAATGGTGGGGGGGATATTTTTTTGGCACACTTTGGGCCCATTAGTACCAATTGAGCATTGTGTCAACGCCACAGCCTTATCTTCTTCAGTGTACTCATCTTCTTATGGCTACTTCCAGCTGGATAACATACCATGTCATAAACCGTGAATCATCTCAAACTGGTTTCTTGAACATGACAATGAGTTCACTCTACTCAAATAGCCTCCACAGTTACCAGATCTCGATCCAATAAAGCACCTTTGGGAATGTGGTGGAATGGGAGATTCACATCATGGATGTGCAGCCGACAAATCTGAAGCAACTGCGTGATGCTATCATGTCAATTTGGACTAAAATCTCTGAGGAATATTTCCAGTACCTTGTTGAATCAATGACACGAAGAATTAAGGCAGTTCTAAAGGCAGAAGGGGGTCCAACCTGGTGTTAGATGTACCTAATAAAGTGGCGGTTGAGTGTATAACTGTATCCTTGTCCAAAATCTTTCTCCAGACACCTGTCTTTTAGTTTTTTTCTGCTGTTATTATTATATTTGATTATTCATAAATTATAAAGTGTTAGTTGTTTTAAAGCACTGAAACCAGCCAATATTTTTTCTTTCTTTTCTAATCTCATTAAACATAAAATAGTTGGAAGAAAATTGTTGACTTTGAGATGATAAACTGAGAATCGCATGTATACAAACCCAAGAGATTTTCTACAAAATGACATGTCTGAATATCTGTGTTTTAAGGATCTGTTTTGTGTGCTGGCTTTATGATAATTGAAGCTGTCATGAGGTTTTGTTTTCGTCTTGCCCTCTTGCATTGCTTTTTTATTTTTATGGTTTTTTAGCAAACTGCAGCATTTAGCTTGATTTAACAAGTCCATGTTTGTTTTGAAGCTAAAGATGAGAGCCGGGGGAATGAGCGAGTCGTCCAAGTGGAAGAAACAGAAGCGTTCTCCCCGTCCCCCTCGTCACATGGTGCGCAGTCCCTCAGGACAGATGGATCCAGCTCAGTCCAGCACTCTCACTAACAACCTTTCAGGTGTGCTGACATGCATTCTATACTGTTTTTACTTTTAATTCTTAAATACATTCATGTTTTGTCAACCACTATTACATATTGGAGTCTTTAATGACCCAAACCTATATTTCTTACAAATATGAATCCTGCAGTGGGTAATGCTTTAATATAAGATGAAGTAGTTACATTTACATGTACTTTTAGTCATTTAGCAGACGCTTTTATCCAAAGCGACTTACAAATGAGGACAAGGAAGCAATTTACATAACTATAAAAGCAACAATGAATAGTGCTGTAGGCACGTTTCAGGTATGTAAAGAAAGTTTAAGAAGCAAAACATTAGTATTGTTTTGTTTTTTTTTTTGTTTTTTTTTGTAGTTAGCGGTGGAGCCAGAGAGGCAATTGCAGATTAGGAAGGAAAGTGGAGACTAAATAGTTGAGTTTTTAGTCGTTTCTTGAAGACAGCGAGTGACTCTGCTGTTCCGATGCAGTTAGAGAGTTCAGTCCACCAACAAGGCAGATTGAGCGCGAGAGTTCGGGAAAGTGATTTCTTCCCTCTTTGGCATGGAACCACGAGGCGACGATCATTCGCAGAATGCAAGTTTCTGGAGGGCACATACATCTGCAGAAGTGAGAGCAGATAAGAAGGAGTGCAGCCAGAAGTCGCTTTGTAAGCAAACATCAGAGCTTTGAATTTGATGCGAGCAGCAACTGGCAGCCAGTGCAAACAGATGAGTAGCGGAGTGACATGTGCTCTTTTAGGTTCATGAAAGACCACTCGTGCTGCTGCGATCTGAAGCAGCTGAAGAGGTTTGATAGAGTTAGCTGGGAGCCCGGCTAGTAGAGAGTTGCAATAGTCCAGTCTGGAGAGAACAAGAGCTTGAACAAGGAGTTGAGCTGCATGTTCAGTTAGGAAGTGTCGGACCTTTCTGATGTTGTAGAGTGCAAATCTGCAAGATAGTGCAGTTCTAGAAATGTGGTCAGAGAAGTTTAGTTAGTCATCAGTCATTACTCCAAGGCTTTTCACCATTTTGGATGCAGTAATGGTTGCCCCATCCATCTGGATTGAAAAGTAATGATGTAGAGTCGGGTTGGCAGAAACTATAAGCATTTCCGTTTTCGTGTGGTTAAGCTGAAGATGATTATCTTTTCATCCAGTTACACATATTCCATGTGCTTACTGTAGTAATTACAATAAATGGTGCATTATTGTATGTAACTAAACATAAACCTAAGACACATTCTATATCCCGCTCATTAGAGATGATCTCTCCCTCATATATACAGCCTTGAGTGAGAGAAGCAGTCATCCGCCATTAAAGTTTTCATCTAATGGCGAGTTCAGACTGCAGGATTTTGAAAAAAGTCGTGTCACAGATGTTTGTCACACTGCAAGATGGATCGGCGCCGGTGGTTTCACACTGCATGATTTTCTAATAGGATGAATCACTGACAACTTTGTCTCGGTCCACAAACTACGTCTCACAACCAAACACAAGCGAGAAGTGACATGAAAACATTGCGAGGCCATGTAGTATATCTTTTGTTATTAACTACACTGTAAATGTCGATTTCAGGTGGAGTTCCCTTCATAGAGCAGCACAGTGGAGGTTCTTCTACATTTCCTGGTTCCGACAGTGCAGCTTCCTCCATCTCCAGCCCCACCACTGACAGTGGCTTAGACACCGGCTCCAAAACCACCTCAAAGGAGGATCTCACCGACCTGGACCAGAACAGCTCAACAGCCACCACTCCCATCACACCCTCCGCAGAGCCGGGCAGACTGGAATCACAGGTAACTCTCAGGCCATCACTAAACTGTCCACATGAACACAGGTGTTTTTAAAACTACACATTTTATGACATTGTTTGGCTGTTGTTTACCAATGCACACACTTTGTAACATTTTATTTATCAAGTTTAAGAGTTTCTTTAACACTTCATCAGAGATGAGATCAGATATTCTGTTTAAATATTTTTTGTTTTTGACTATTAAAATTATTTGTCTTAGTAATGTTGGTAAATTAAAACAAAGCGGTTTAATATTAATAATAATTAAAAAATCCTAATATTCCTAAATGTATTGTTAAAAAATATTTAATAATTATTAAATGATATGAAACATGATACTGTGATATTTGTTTTTGCAATATCACCCAGCTTTACATGTATGTGTGTACATGTCCTGAAGTGTCTATGTTCATGTGATTGAGCTTGATTGTGATATGTTCTCTCATCAGTCTGAGGGCAGAGGTGTGGAGCGAGCCCAGTCCGCCTCAGTGGAGTCCATTCCTGAAGTCCTGGAAGACCGAGACCTGCTGGCTGACCAGTCTGATTCAGCATCTGTCCACGATATGGACTATGTGAACCCTAGAGGAGTGCGCTTTACACAGTCTACTCAGAAAGAAGGTAAAAAATAAACGGCAAAAGCAAATTCCGCTTTTTAAAGGGACAGTACACTCAAAACTGATAATTCTGTCATCATTTACTGTACTCTCGCTTTACTCGTTTCAAACTTGTTTGAGTTTGTTTCTACTGTTGAACACAAAGAAAAATATTTTGAAGAAAGCTGGAAACCTGTAGCTGTTGACTACCATAGTATTTGTTTGTCCTGGTTTTATCTTTCTTCAAAATAATTTCTTTTGTTTTCAACAGAATAAAGAAACTTATAATGCTTTGGAAACATTTGACGGGGCGTCCCTGGGGTCTTAAAAAGTATTAAAAGTTGATAAATCAGAGAAATGTAATGCCCTTAAAAAGTATTAAAAAGTCTTCAATGCTATTTAGCAAGGTATTAAGTGTAATGTCATTTTTGATTATGCAGTGTATGGTTGTATGCTAAAGTTTGCCTGAATTAAATCTGTGAATATGAGGATGCTGTGTAGTTCATAAAATCAATAAAATCCTGCTAGATTTGACATCATGCTGCTTTGTTTACTGCAGTAACCAAGGCTAAACCATTATTTCTGCAGTTCAATAATATGAATTAGCTAGATTTAGTAGATTTTTATTCAGTACATAATTAATGTTTTAGTTTTGGATTAGTTCTTTCATTAATGTTTCGTAACTATTCTGTAATGAGGCGATATAGGAGAATACTTACCAGTCCTTACTTTTATATGGATTACATAAAAAGAGATCATTTGTTTTCGACTTTAATTGGTTAATGCAAAAGTAGACATATCAAGCTTTATATAGAAATCATAAATCATCATCTTTGTTGAATATTTGCTGAATTTCCCTGCATTTTAGTGACGTGTTTTTCTGACCACAGTCTGCACGCGTCTTCAGATGCTTGTAATAACAATGCCTCGTGGGTGTGGTCGCATTAAAACTAATGAGATTAGACTGAGAAACTAGACATAGCGTTGGTTTCATATCGATTACTTTATAAAGCAATGTTTGTTTTTGACATGCATAGCTACGTTTAAAAGTAGACACTTCAAGCTTTCTAGAAATACATGTCTCATACGCTCTCTCACAGTGTGTCTGATATTCGCGGAGTTTTAGCGCATTTTACCGACGCGTTTCTAAAAGCAGTTCACGGAGAGAGAAAAGACAGAATGTCTACACTGTTTGTTTTCCTTATTTTGCAAAAGCACACATGTTTGCTGTTGTTGTGAGTGTACACAACAAAAAGTAGACACATAACAGATTCGATTGATGTATTGATCTTATCTGTACGATCAAAACTGAAAGTGTTATTTAAGTTAATTTCAGCAGTTTGACGCCACCACAGGTCAAAACCCGTATACACGGTCTTCGACCCCAGAGGGTTAATATCTCGCCAGTGTTTCCAGTTAAAGTGTCCTTAAGTGGTTTTAAGGTCCTAAAATGTATGGAAAGAGTCTTGAAAAAGGTCTTTAAGGTTTTGAATTTCACTCTCTGATTCCTGTATCTACTCTAAGGCCCAATCCCAATTCTACCCCTTAGCCCTTTCTTTTACCCCTACCCCTCGTTTTGCGCGTTCACATCAAGGGGTAGGGGTGTCCCAATTCTCTTTAGCTTGAAGGTGTAGGGCTAAGGGGAAAGGGTGAATAGCCCTTCGAACTAAGATTTTTCAGGACCACACTCGAAACCAAGGGGTAAGAAAATTTTCCAGAATAGTTAGGAATAATAATTTCCCAGCCCCAATGGCAGTGTTTTGCCGAACCCGGAAGTAAGGAGAGCCACAAATTTGTATTTTTTGTCATTATTACGAATTTTTAAGACAAACAAGCACATGTTTTAATAGATTCAAAACCGCGTACGTGTTTTACCATAATGCTTTTCAAAAAACAGCTAAAATTAAAAACGCTACATTTCCTATAAGGTATAATCCATAATAATAACAACTCCTGTACAGCAGTCCTACAACATTCTGACACTCAATGACACTCGAATACCCTGTCAGAAAAGTCTAGTGGCTGGGAATGGGCTTTTTACAGTGTCTGCTAAAATGTTAATGTTGTTTTTGGTGTGTTTACATTGATGATTATGGCCACTGTGTAAATGCACAGTACAGTTACGACCTTATTGCCACATTAGATCGTTATGCTAACATAATATATGCCTTCAGTGATTTCTTAAAGATAAATACTAAAAAACAACTGGAATAACTACAGCAGTCGCCATCGTCTGATCTCATATGAAGCATGAAATCGCGATGACATATAAAGAGGTGTGCAGGTGCTGTAGTGCTGTCCCTATTCTTAGGGGTACATTTTGAAGTTCTTCCCCTTTACACTTGGTTTTAAGGGCCAAGGGGAAAGGGTAGGGGTACCAAAACAGAATTGGGATTGGGCCTAAGTGTGAGCAAATAGTGATTCAATTCTTTATTTTTGAGTGAACTGTTCCTTTAAAACCCCAATATATTCTAATAAGCTAGATACACAAGAACAAGCACAAAAAAAAAGACAATTGTTGGAAAACAGCAGTTAAGTAAGCATCTGATTATAGTGATGTGGACATGTATAGCACATTATATCTAGCATTAGACATATATATTGTCTTAAGCAGTGTTTCTCAACCACATTCCTGGAGGATCATCAACTTTGCACATTTCCATATCTCCTTCACTAACCATGCCTAATTCAACGGATCAGCTCATTAGCAGAGACTAAAAGACCTTTAATAGGTTTGACAGACAAGGGAAACATCCAAAATATGCAGTGCTGGTGGTCCTCCGGGAACGTGGTTGAGAAACACTGGATTAAAGCATGGACGTTACACCAGTTCATCAGTTTCTCTCTGTATTTCAGGCTGTTTACATTCACGCTTCCTGAAATGTGATTGGTGTCTCTTTGTGTTTCTCCAGGTGCTGCTCTTATCCCGTATGGTCTGCCATGTTTGAGAGAGCTCTTCCGGTTCCTCATCTCTCTCACCAACCCACACGACCGCCATAACTCCGATGTGATGATGCACATGGGCCTTCAGCTCTTAAACGTTGCCCTTGAAGCTGCACACATCGCCCCCTACCAGTCATTGCTCGGTCTGGTCAAAGATGAACTCTGTAGGCACCTCATACAGGTAAAAAAAACCTCTGATCTAAATGGTAGGATGTGTACGTTTACATTTGTACTAAATATTCTCCGTCTGTCTCTTTGTAGTTGTTAGGTGTAGACCGAATGAATCTGTACACCGCCTCTATACGTGTGTGCTTTCTTCTGTTTGAAAGCATGCGAGAGCATCTAAAGTTCCAACTTGAGGTATGTGATGTTATCATTTTTTATTTTTTATTTTTTTTTGTGGTGAGATATAAAGAATCTCAGATGTTAGGAGTCACTCTTTCTGTGCATCTACAGATGTACCTGAAGAAGCTAATGGACATCATTACCTCAGAGAACCCGAAGATGCCATATGAAATGAAGGAGATGGCCCTGGAGGCCATAGTACAGCTCTGGAGAATCCCCAGCTTTGTCACCGAGCTCTACATAAATTACGACTGTGACTTTTACTGCTCCAACCTGTTTGAGGATCTCACCAAATTGCTCTCTAAGGTGAGCCCCTTCAACTCCTGATATCCCTATAACACCGAGGAAGACATATTTAAAGTTTGGAAACTGTTTCACAAGTATTTTACAACATAAAGTAAAAAGAAATGTTAACCTTAATTTATTTTAATCTTTACACTTGCAATAAGGTTGTATTAGTTAATTTCAAATAATGTATTTACTTACAGAAATAATGGCCAATACATGTATTACTGAATTTGTTCATGTTTGTAAACATTACTTAAGAGAAATAAAATTGTTCGCTGTTAGCTCGTGTATTTTTCATTCTTAGTTCATATTATTAAATACAATAACTAACAACGATTGAAACTTTTTTGAAAAGTGTGGCCATTTTATGAAATGACGATAGGGTAGGATATAGGGTTGTCACAATACTGGAATTCGGTATCAATTGATACTGAAGTTTTAAAATCGTCCATTTTCCACTGACATTTGAGCTCTTCTATGCACTTTCTTAAACGGTGCTGATTTGACATTGGGTTCACATGCTCAACATAAATGACTGTGATTGGCCATGGAGGTCATCAGTTTACCAAACTCACAAACTCACAGATACACTGGAGTGTCAAACTCACGTCGATCAGCTGGTTTGTTTAGAAGCTGACATACGAGCGATCCGCTGATGAATTATGGGTTTAAAAACGCTCCAGTATCCCTTTATCTATGGTTACACACAGTAAACAGCGGTGAGTTTGGTAAACTAATGAGCCTCACTGCCGATTACAGACATTTCTGTTGAGCACATGAACACAATGGCGAATCAGAGCTGTTTAAGAATGTGCTCAATAGCGCTCAAATGTTAGCAGATTTGTTTTTATTGAGTGTGTTAAAATTTCAGTATCGATTGGTACTGAATTCGTGAAAACCCTATAATAAAATAAAAATGTATTAATTGTGCAAAAAGGATTACACTAATAATTTTCTTTTTATTTTACGTAGTATTTATTTAAGGTTTATTAAAGTTATTTTTATTTTAGTTTGCCAACTTGCAATAGATGAAAGTGAGATTAGATGCAATCAGCTAAAAAGTGTATTAATTTAACTGCAGTGTTTTGGTTAAGTGTACTTACTTTAACACTGTATCAGTGTTAATGTATCTTAGTGTGATTGTGATTTATTTATATATATATATATTGCATTATACATTTTCAATTTAGTTGTTTTTATTAATTAATTTAGTAAAGTTTTAGGACTTGGGTTTTGTTTTTGCTGACTTTATAGTTTCTTTATATTTTTAGGAGTTTATTATTTGTTTATTTAGTCTGTAAATTACTCAAAAGTGAGATGTTGCTTTGGCCAGTTAGCTAAAGTAAAAAGTTTTTTTATGAATTTTTAAAACTTTATTTCTTATCAAATAGAGAGTTTGACTTAACTTTAATATTATGGTTAGCTACTTCAATAGTCTTAAATCATTTTCTTGCAGTAAGCCACAGGCTTCATTTAATTAATTTATGAATTACATTTTTACATTAAAGGGTTCACCTTTAAAGGGGACCTATTATGTCTTTTTTACAAGATATAAAATACTTCTCTGAAGTTTCAGCTCAAAATGCCCCAGAATTAATGTTTTAGAACTCTTTGAAACTGCCTCTTTTGCGCTTTGATCTGATAGGCTCCTACACACACTTTTCGCTTGCGTTTATCATCAACGTTTTTTGAGAGGGTTTCCGGATTCAAACCCAAGTGATTTTCACTGGCATCAAGCAGAAGAGTTTGCAAAATCACTCCTTGACGTTAGATGGTGCTAGACAACGTTAAGCTTCTGACATCCGCTTGTAACACAGAAGAAGAAAACAGAAAGTTGACACACTTGTTGTTTAAGTTACTGGCGATTTAAACAAGCATGGATGGTTCAGGTAGCAGCTCCGGCTCTAGCGAAGAAGAAATTATTATTGTTCACCTGTGAAAAAAGCAGCTCTATGTTCATATCGTCTCTGGGCATCTGCAATGTGCGCTCACATTGACAGTTTGCGCTCGAGCGCCTCCAAGTGCTGTTTACTGTAACTTCAGCAGCTCCGTGCAGGTGAACAAAAGTGCCAATCTGATTGGTCAAAACAAAAGAAATGAACATGAGGCGTTTCATTAAAAAAGTATGCTTTTACGCTTTGCGTTTTGCGCGTTGGTGTGCATGAACACTTTGGCGCCCTTTATTTAGTCACGAGGTGTTAAACGTCAACGAAAAATGCGAGAAAAGAGCGTCCCTGTGGGCATGAGCCTTAATTGTGCCATTTTGGTCACTGTTGCTTTAAATTCAAATGAGAGCAGGGCTATAAATGACTGTGTCAGCTTAGTGGCAGATTCAAAAGAAAAAGTAAAGTCCTATGCTAATGAGAGAGAGATCATCTTAATGGACCTGGCTTTTTCTTTTGATGACATGGAAAAATGTGCAAATGTCAAGCAGAGTGTTTCTCCAGACTGTTTTTATAATGTGTGATTTATAAAAAAATACATTTTTACCATTGAAACTGGTTATTTTCACAGACTATTACCACACACCTGTGTTTGAACCTCTTATAATAGTGATTTTTGCATAAGAGGTCCCCATTAATACAAATTCCTGAAAGTTTTGAGGAGAATACAGTAAATATAAGGTTATGTTCAATCAATGTGTTTCTGCATTGTGTTTGCAGAATGCCTTTCCAGTGTCTGGGCAGCTTTACACAACCCATCTCCTGTCACTTGAAGCCCTGCTGACAGTGATTGACAGCACCGAGGCTCACTGTCAGGCCAAAGTGCTCAACAGCGCTACACAGCAGGAACAGTCCGAATCCACAACCGTAGGAGACAGTTCAGTCAGTACCATCACAGATTCACCCGCAGGTGGGTAAAATTAAAAGTCTCATCATGGACATAAATTAAATGCTGTAAAAAAATTGTAGAACTAGATACTACTTCACAGGACATTTGTATCATAATGGCAAACTCCACTTCTTTTGTTTACCGCATACAGAAACTGGCAAACCTCATCCCAGTTCTAATGGACAGAACTCTGTGGTGTCTGAGACGAGGGCTTCCTGTCCTCCCACCAGCGGTCATCTCATGGCAGAGAAGATGAGATTAGGTAGACAGGACCAGGAGGAGACGGACACAGGTACATCCTAGCACGTTACATGTGAAATGCAACAATAGACTAAAGGTCCGTTCACACAAAGAAAGATAACTAAGTACTATGCTGGTAAACCTCATACCTCTGACCTCAAAAAGTGCTCTAGCGACATACTCAAGGGGCCGTGGTAATGGCCATGGTCTTTAACCTCCTTGTTTGAGTATAATACATGATCTGATGGCTATTTTGACCTGAAACCTCAGACACATTCTGGAGACACCATGCTTTACATCTTGTAAAAGGGGCAAAATCAAAGCCCTTTAACCCTTCTTTTTAAAAATTGTTTAAAGATAATGACTATCTAGAAAACACTTTGTTATACCATGGGAAAGATTGATGAATGGAAAGTTAAACTGAAGTATAAACTACTCTGACTATGATTGCTAAATTAGTTTGATTAGATTAATATACATTTTTTTAATTATTCACTGGTCAGATGTGCTATTAGCACGCTGAGAACATCAGCTTGTTATAAAGGGGTAATGCTATATCAAGCTGTCTGCATAAACACACACACACACACGCATAGACACACAGCATCACGCTGTCTCTCATTCACACACATACACAAACATAGACAGCACCAAACAAATAAACAAACACACAAGCACACGCACTTGCTTGCTCGCTCGGGAGTGATATTGTGAGACCGCCCACTCCTGTTCAAATTACACCAGAGTTATCGACCGCTGTCGCGCCGCATGTAATCCGGTCGGGTCCTGTGACAATGAACAGATACAGTCGCGGGAATGCAGATCTATATCCAGAAGCATCGCTGTAACAGCCAAGAGGAAAAGAAAGGGGAGGAAAAGTCACGCCAGCAACTGAGAGGAAAAGTCACGCCAGTAGTTGAAATGGGCCACAGTGAGAGAGAGAGAGAGAGAGAGAAATGTAGTTCACTTTCATTCCCTCAATCGCAGAGAAATTGGGGCTTCTGCTGTAAGTGTTAGTGTAACACACACACGCCATAAATTGTGAACAGTTTCTGCGTTTTTTAAGTAGTTGGTGCCTGAACCGATACCGAATTGTGTGAGTCTGCATCGCAGTCCACCGAAGAAACAATTAATTTTGACACCCCTAATATATATATATATATATATATATACACACATACATATACATACATGGTCTGAAACCGCGTGATCGGGCTCGATTTCTGATCACGTGAATGGATCTGCAGGTCCCTACTGGACAGTGTGGATGCAAATATATTTATTATAGTTATTGTGTTTGGTGTAAATCAGCTTTAAGACAACATACAGTGATTTGAAGCAGACATTGAAGCAATTTGATTAAACAAATGCTGATTTGTCTTAATCCAGGAGAGAAGAAAATCTCGAAGAAGCCTCATCGTTTCTCCAGCTATCTTCCAGACTCTCAGGAACTTCTGGAAATCAAGAACAAGAAGAAGGTGAGCACACTCCAATCTGCATGTGTCTGCATTTTACATTTGTGAATATTAAAACCTCTTCAATGGAATAACATTGGTTTATTAATTATTTTTATTAATTGTACTCCAAAGCTTCTGATCACGGGTACAGAACAGTTCAATCAGAAGCCAAAGAAAGGCATTCAGACCCTGCAGGAGAAAGGCCTGCTCAGCAGCCCCATGGATAATAACGAAGTAGCCCAATGGCTGAGAGAAAACCCCCGTCTGGATAAGAAGATGATTGGAGAGTTTATCAGCGATCGCAGGAATACTGACCTGCTGGACAGTTTTGTCAAGTAAATCTTTTCTTTCTAACATGCGATTTAATGTAAGAATTAGGTTAGCTGAATATAACCAACTCAAACCATCATTTGAGGATAAAGTTACTTTGAAGAAAGAAGTCAATTATATTGTGTAAAATAAATGAAGCCAATTTTAGGACTGTAAATTATTGTGTACAGTCAAATGTATGCTGATGTAAATAAGAAGATTTCACTGTACAATTTAAAAAAAAGCATCACAATAAAAAAATGCGATACTTCTTTTAAAAACCTAAATTCGCTTGTATTTTCATACCCAAAAGACTTTCATTCAACGTTGTAAAACACAAATCAAGATTGTTTGAATGAAACCTGAGCAATTTCTGTTAGTAGTGGAAGTTTTTTCTAAATCATTTTGAGAGTTTAAAACTAGCTTCAAGTTCTCTAAACACAATTATGTTATATAATGAACAGAATTGATTTATGTTTTTTCCAGTCTTACTGTCCTTGTCTCTTTTGACCAATTGTAGGCATTCCTTGCCAAAAAATATTCATCGCACTTTACAATAAGGCTTTGTTGGTTAACATGAACTGACATGAACTAATAAGAATGAATAAACCAGTAAATAAAGCATTTATTGACCATAGTTCAACTAGAGTCTAACAATATAACTAATAATAAATGACTAGAATTAACAAAGATGAATAAAAGCTAATCTGTTGTTCATTGTTTAAATAAATTATAACAAATTATTAAAAAAATTAACAATATGTATGTTTTCTTTTTCGTAAATTCAACAGTAAAAATGCAAACACATACAACAATGTTACACTCACTAAATGCAACTGATTCATATGCTTAGAAAATCTATATACATAAAGCATCTCTTAAGATGATTAGGCGTACACTAAATTTTTAAAAAGGAATCATGTTCCAGGATCAACATAGACGTTAATACAGGAGCGCATTGTACTAAGTAAGATCACACACACACACACACACTCCGAAATATAGACCCAATCCCAATTCTACCCCTTAACCCCTTCCCTTACCTGTAAAGGGATTGGGGGTGTCCCAATTCTTTTAAGCTTGAAGGCGTAGGGCTAATAGGAAGCGCTAGATACCCCTTGAAAAGGAGATTTTTCAGGACCACACTCAAAATTTCTCTGAATACACCATCTGCAACAGCAGCATAGCTGCACACGCAAGTCAGGAGATCCACAAATTAGTATTTTTGTCATTATTACGAATTTTTACAACAAACAAGCATATGTTTTAGTACATTCATAACCGCGTTCGTGTTTTACCATAATCTTTTAAAAAAGCCAAAATAAAAACCTTATTAATCCATAATAATAACTCTTGTATAGTAGTCCCACAATATTTTATCACTCGATGACACTCGAATACCCTTTTAGAACACTCTTGCACCTGGGAATGACCTTTTTACAGTGTCTGCTTGTTAGCATGGAAAAAGTACAGTAGAGTATGCATTTACTTACGTTTCCACTGACAAACGTATCAAAATAGTGAACTATACTCTCTCTTGTTTTTTGGCACCCTTTTATACAATACAACACAATAATAAAACAATGGCAGAGCAAAGCAATGAATCCTGCTCTAACAGATTTTGCTGTCATCTTGTGATAACTGTCTGGCATACTGATGCAACGGTTAACCGATTTTACTAATAACTGTGCTTTAATTCGTCATGGTTAATTAATCGTAAAGGCTGGTTAACACCGGTTTCTGCATGGAACAAAACTGCTGCAACAAAACAAAGTGATGACAATTGTGCGCTAGTTTAAAGTTATGAGCTTGTACAACGAGGCTAATACCTACACACACAGGGCTATGGCTGAGGCTGTAAACTAAGGCTCATTCACATATCGTGTCTTTTGGGCAGGCAAGTTTGTTATTTCCAATGGAAGTGTGTGGCTTGTGCGCAGGGCCGGAGTGGGACTCCTTTTCAGCCCTGGAGTTTCAAGCATTAGACCGGCCCACCTCAGTTCACGACTGACTATATTAAAATAAGGTCATTTCCAATTCAGTTTCTAATGACACTATCACTTCTTTTTCAAGAAAACAGCTTCTTTAGAACTTTAAATGTTCAACAACCTTACAGTTTTATATGTCTTAACAATAAAAATGAAAAAAAAAAAAAAATTTACTCAGGTGTGGATCGAACACGTCGTAACGCAACGTGCTGACCACTGGACCACAATTACACTTGTGTGGCCGGAATGATAGTTACATCATCATTACCCTGCAGACTGCATTTTGCTCATGGGGCTGCGAGACGATAAATAAGAAGAGCGGAGCTGTGGCAAAATAATGAATAAAAAGAGTGAGGCTATGGTCAAATAAATAAATAAATAAATGAAAAAAAGTGCGACTGCTGAGAGTGCAGCTAAAAACACCGGCCCTCTCGGCCAAAAAACAGACTGGCCCACCAGGAACTCTCCTGGTCCTCCCGATTAGCCAATCTGGGCCTGCTTGCATGCAAATATTGGGAGTGAAGAATGCCCCGAGGGCACCGTGAGTCATGTGACAAGAACTGGACCAATCAGCTTCATACTTTGTATAGAATATACAGAAAAGAAAAAATACAAAATGAAAAATACCAAACAATTTTGTAAAATATTTGATCAAAAATCTCTTTCAGACAGAGGTTCAGCAGCCTTTGACTAAATTTGTTCTCTTAAAAAGGGAAAATACTTTTATAACTAATATGCAGCTTACATTTACATTAGAAAAATACAACTTTAAATTTTTTCTTATTTATTTATTTCATTTATTAATTCATTGTTTTGTCATTTATTTTAGGTATAAAATCATTAATTCTGTTTAAGTACCAAAAACTTTTTTCCACTTATTTTTAAGTCCAAAAATAAATGTTTTTTTTTTTTTTTTTTCTGCTCTAGTAATTGGTTGAGCCGCAATAAATAACCCTTATAAGTAGTTATTTACTGGCCCGATTGGGACAGTGCTGCCCTGTCAACATTGAATTTGTCTGTGACTATTTATCAGTTGCGTGCATTTTAAGTTTGTGCTTTTAAGTCTTTAAACACTACCTTCTCTGTGACGTCATAACCACCATATTGCTTTCCGGTTCCTATTATCTGTATTGAGCATTCTATATTTGTCCATAACCTGGTAACAACCAGCAAAGCGAAGAAAATGCAACATGGCGGCAGCATCAAATTCTAAGGCTAAAAAAAATATCTGTTTCTAATGTTTTGGAAGCAGACATTTACGTGTGAACTATGCAAAAAAATAAAAAATTAAGTGATGTTTTGCACAGTTTGCCGTCAGTTTCACAATTCAGCCACCCGTTGTTAAATAATTTCAAACCGCAATAAAATATGTCCAAATTTTCCATACTGCTCTTTTTGTTTGCATAACATTTTTATTTACATTTTTTAAGTTTTAAAATTCTAGATTCACAGACTTTAATTTTCACACAATATTTAAAATATGTGGCTAAAAAAATAGCTATTAACTTCCCTTTCTTTTTTAGTGGGGCTATTGAACATTTTGGCAGGGCAAGTAAAAATCTGAACCACTGGCCCGATCGGACGAGTAGAAAAAATCCTTAGCGTTAAACCCTGATATATATGATTTTCTAAAGTAGTAGTGTTTTGAAATTGATGAATGCATAATAATCATAATCAGTATAACCATAAAACCGTGAGTATTCCTTAGACTTTAATAATACAACCAAACTCTATAATCATTGCATCCCTAATCTGGCATACACCACAGCTCAGTAGAAACAAGGCATTAGATTTGCTGGGTCTGTTAACTCAGTTGAGTTGATTGTCCTTTCAACATTCACCAACACAACCCTAGTTTAACACCTGAAATGAAATACTGTCCTTAAGCTTTGGATGTTCTTCTCACTGTAAATTACTAGCAGCCTCAAAGTGACTGTCAGTTTGGAGTTTGAGATAATTATGCCTTAAGTGGTTTTAATGCCATCTCTGTCTCTTCCTCAGCACGTTCACCTTCCAGGGTCTGCGCATAGACGAGGCCCTCCGCTTGTATCTGGAGGCTTTCCGTCTTCCTGGCGAAGCGCCTGTCATTCATCGACTTTTGGAAACCTTCACTGACAACTGGCATGTAAGTCAGCTGCCACACGCATACACAAGCATGGGCTGGCAGGGACTGAAGTGAATATATATATATATACACACTCTGGAGCGGGAACACACACATATACTCTTTAAATAGGTAGTAGGTTCGCTGCAGTCACAGACACAAGCATTCTTACAGTTCTTCCATTACCACACTCCAAGGCAATCCTGGCCACCAACTGGCCCCATCATCAGGTAATTAGGGACAGTGGAATAGCTCTTGGGATCAAGGACAGGGTCATTAGTCACGCAGGTAATCGGGGAAGAGGAAAATGTTGCACCGGGAAGTGAGACACATCCATCCGCCCCGCAGAAAGCAGCTCAGGCGATCCGAGGACATATCCAACAGGCTCACTTATGTGCTTATTAAAAGCGGTGCTCTCTGAGTGACCTGGAAAGTATTCGTAGTAATTTCTTTTCTTAGTCGCCATTCTCGATCTCTACGAATGAGCTCATGTGATTATGCCACACAGACGCGCGGGTCGCGCCCTCCCCGATGGCAATGTATCGAAACTGGAAGGGATTCAGTTTCTGACATTTACACTTGCAGGAGATCCCTGAGGAATTACCGTGCCCTTTTATATTTTTCTTGTGGCGAATGATTTGAGTCTGTAAAGATAAGTGTACATATTAGGTGATTTGATCATGCTATTCTTGCACTCAGAGTCAGGTATATGGCCTTGTTCTTTTGTGTGCAGAAAGTGAACGGTAATCCCTTCCAGACAAATGACGCTGGCTTCGCCCTGGCTTACGCCGTGATCATGTTAAACACCGATCAGCACAACCATAACGTTCGAAAGCAGAACATCCCCATGACTTTGGAGGTGAGTGACGCATGTTCCTTCTACAGATGCAGAAAAAAATCACATGTTCAGAGCTACAGACGCAATCTCTGTGTCAGATCAGTTTCAGCTATATGACTTAACAGTATAAGATAAGTGTATTACGTGTTTTTCTTGTAAGTGTGTTATGAAACTAGATTGCCTAGATTTACCACACATAAAGATTACTGTTATGTAGCCATGCCTCACTTCTATGTGCTTTAAGCAGCTGGCCTCGGTTTTATAGAGCTGTGAGCTTACAGTATATGAAAAAATCAGTCACGGCAGTCACACATAGACATTTTAATGAGTGTACATGTGTCATTTAAAGAAATACTTTATCAAGAAGAACTACAAAAACATGCTGTGAACCTCACCAAATCCAATTCATTTCACAACAATAATATAGAGAAAAGGCTTACATTTTGTGGTTTTGCTTTTTTGGGAGGGGGTATGTGGTTTCATGGAAACCTCGTATAAAAAATCAAATTTCATAACCATGATTACAACCAATTAAGGAACAAGATGGATGGATGGATAGATAGAAAAATGTATTGTTAGTACTGTTGTTGATGTTTAAAAATCTTTACAATAACCTTAAAAAAAGTGACTATAAAATTACTTCCATTGTTGGCAAAGAATTTAAAAAAGGGTAAACAGTAAGCAGTGATCAGAACCAGCTCCAAGTGGGTGGGACTTGAGCTCCAAGTGGGCTCAACACATTTAGTTTATTTAATGTCTTGTAAATGACACAGAGTCCACCCTGTTGTGTTTTATGAATTATATCCACACCTAAACCCAACCTCACAGTAACCTGTTGTGTTTTATTAACATCTATACCTACACAACCCCTAAACCCAACGACACAGTATCATATTGTGTTTTATTAACATCTGCACCTACCCAACCCTTAAACCCAACTGCACAGTCACCTGTTGGGTTTTACTAACATCTACACCTACACATACCCAACCCCTAAACCCAACTACACAGTATCCTGTTGTGTTTTATTAACATCTACACCTACCTAACCCAACCTCTAAACCCAACCTCATTCACCTGTTGGGTTTTATTAACATCTACTCCTACCTCAACTTCTAAACTCAACTTCATTCACCTGTTGGGTTTTATTAATATCTACACCTAACTCAACCCTAACCCAGCCTCACAGTAAACTGTTGTGTTTTATCAACATTCACACCTACTTCAACCTCTAAACCCAACCTGATTCACCTGTTGGGTTTTATTAACATTCACACCTACCTCAACCCTAACCCAGCCTCACAGTAACCTGTTTTATTAAAAAATATTTTAGATTTACAGTTCTTTAAGGTATTCTAAACAAAAAATGTTTAAACCAAATAGCATCTCTGTTTTGTTCATAATAGAAATACATTTCACATGACCACCAAATTAACATATTAAAATGATTTCTGAAGTGTCATTGTGAACAGGAGTACTGGCTGCTAAAAATCTGCATTACAATGAAAGAATTTTTTTTTTTTTAAATAAATAAAAATTAGAATTGGTTAATTTCTATTTAATCAATAGATGCGTGTATTATAAAGAGCTCGACACAATGAATACACCCCTCGCAAATTTCTTACTTAGATTTATATATATTTTTATAGATGCTTCACAATATTATATTTGTGCATATACATTAGATTAGTCAGCACTGAAGCCAAATCTAAAGCTAATCTAACAAGATTGTGAAAACAATTCAAAAATTAGTAGCCCAAATTTATGTTATGGTAAAATATTAAGTAAAAAAAATGTATACACTCTTAGAAATAAAGGTACGCATGCTGTCACTGGGGTGGTGCCTTTTCGAAAGTTACATATTTGTACTTATAGGGTCCTTTTTAATACCTCAAGGGTACATATATTTCCTCTGACTGGTACAGTACGGTTCGGGTCGGTACAGGTCACCTTTATCAGGTTTGCGTTTCCACTAGCAAGGGTACCCTTTTGGTGGGCGTGGTGTATGACAAAGTTTCAGTCGACGTCATTCTCGCTCGAGAAAATGTCTACAATAAAGCTGCACAGGTCACTCACATATCATATGAAAAGCACTTCTCACAAAACAGACGCTTTACACACATAAATACTTCTGTATAAATGTTTATTACTAACATTTCTATGAACATGAGTTGATTATAGCTGCAGATCAATGATCAAATAGCCTACTGTAATGTCTGCAATTATTTAAAAAAATAAATAAATGAACATTTATGAACACATACAGACCCTTACAGTCCTAGATATGTTACCAACTACAGAATAAGCACACACAGCATACATTTTGTCCTTAATTAGGTTCAAAACAACACAAAGTATAGCCTACAGTCAGAGCAGACCTCTCATCTGCGTCTGTAATCTTCAGCAGCACATGAAGCCTCTGTTAGAGAGTTATTCCATCATTCCCAGTTCATATTAGTCCAAAAGGTGATGATAAAAATTAAAACAAGGCAGTTTGTTCACGTTTGCTGAAGAAATAACGTGCTCCTTGGCTTCCCCTTTTTTTCCGCGCTCCACTCTCGCGTTTGTCCCATTTCTTTCTGAATGTGTCATTCTCGCGTTTGTCAGCTTCTCACAGGATCGAGTTTCCAAAGCTTGTCAATAATCAAGCGCACGTTATTATCATCAGCTCAAGAAGTTTGTTATTTCAGATATAGACACGCGGCGAGCGCAAGTAATCTCTCGCTGTGTATTTCAAACATGGCGGGTCCTTTGTTTACATTCTGGCTTGTTGCGTAAGTGAATGACGTATCTCTGTTAACCAATAGCGTTCAGCTGTGCGTCTAGCTCCGCCTTTTAGTACCCTTTCTTGTGTTTGGGACCCTTTTGAAAGGGTGCAGAAAAAGTGGTACGGTTTGGTTCGGTACGCCTTTTGACAGTGGAAACAGCCATAAAAGCGTACCAAACCGAACTGTACCGTACCACTCAGTGGAAACGGGCCATTAGTACCTAAAAAGTACCAAAGTATACCTCTTGAAATGTTTAGGTACTAATATATACCTTTGAGGTACCAATATATGCCCTTTAAGTACAAATATGTTCTTTTAAAAAGCTACCACCCCAGTGACAGCTCTTCTACCTTTATTTCTGAGAGTGTACAACACAAATCAAGAGAAACAAACAGTTTGCAATTTTTTTTAATTAATTTGTATTATCTTTCTATTTCTAATGATGTAGTAATTTAAATATTAGTTTAATAAATATATACATTTAATAAATCTGTTTTGTTCAAATGCAACAAAACACAAAAAAAAGAGATGTGTAACGTGTGGCTGCGGCTGCGGCTGCGGCTGCGGCTGCTTGCATCTTTTCTTCAGCACCCACTGACACCTTGAGTTTTCCATGCGTTAGCACCAGATCCATTTAAACAGATGATCACAGAAACCTTCCGTGTTGTAAAGGAATACAGGGAGCAGTGGGAGTGGTAATCAGCAGGTATTCAGTCTGAGCACAGAGGGGATCAGAGGTGGAGAAGTGAAAGGCGAGCAGCAGGAGACGCGGCGGGACTGGGCTTTTGGCAGACGGCACGTCCAGCTGTCTTGTCTCTGTGTCAGCTAGCATTTGTGTGTGTTTGTGTGTGTGTGTGTGTGTGTGTGCGTTTACTCCCTCTCTCCAGCCATGGAAAATGCAGTCCTGGAAAGACCCTCTGTTTACTCCTCTGTTTATTTCTCCTTCTGTTCATCCCTCTCTCGGGGGGAGGAAGCTCAGGTTTCCCTTGCTTTACCTGCCATTAAGAAAGTATGCAGTAAAACAGTGGCCTAACGCCATCACTCAGCAGCGGACGTCTGTGTGTTTATTTGAGCTGAGCTTGGCCTTAGACCAGCCTGCTTAACACTAACACCTATTAAGTGACACCAGCAGTAATAAACCGAGACCAATTATTGGATTTGAAAGGCGATAGTTGGAGGATGTCGCCGTAATTGGATGGAATGAAGGCATTTTAATCAGTTTCCTCCTCCTGTTTGTTGTTTTATTTTATTTTCCCAGCAATTCAAGAAGAATCTCAAAGGTGTGAACGGAGGAAATGACTTTGATCAAGATATGCTGGAAGACATCTACAATGCCATCAAGTTAGTGCTCATTGTCTTGTTGTTCTCTTGCAGTTGTTGCTCTTTCTAATGCATAAAATGGGGGAGATGTTTATTACAATACATTTTTTCACTGATAAGTTTTTGTATAAAATAAAATTCTTTGTGAATAAAACCATGCTTATACAGACCCCCTAGTTTTTCACAATTTTTTTATTTTTCGCTAAAAAATGACTGATTTATTGGTGGTAATTCCCAGATATTTGCAGACAATTTTGCAATTACAAAAAAAATAAAATAAATAAAAATAACTGAATCTGATTGGCTGATAGCTGTGCGATATTTTGCCAGTAACAACACCGCCCACGTACAGCAAGCAACAAGCAGAGACCCTACAGTTTGACAAATATTACTGTTGTTAGATAACAAAATGTATTTTTGAGGCTTTTTTAGTGGAGAATGTAGTTGTTTAGATTGCAACTATGCAGTTTATTTGCAAGAATAGTGCCTATTTTAAAATATTTACAATTTCTGAGAGCTCGTCAGCGACCAAAGACGGTTGACGTTGTCTATCCACAAGATGGCGCCAGAACCGCGTAAAGCCTGATTTATACTTCTGCGTCAGGTGACCGGCGTAACTCACGGCGCATGCAACGCGCGTGGCTGTGCATTTATACTTCTGCGCGCTGTCTCTGTTGGTCTGCATTAACACTTCCGAAACGCTAGTTGGCAGTGAGGTGTAAATGTTCCTCTGTGTCGAGTTTCTTCGCTGCTTTTTTGCTTTTCCTGAACACTTCCGGGATGTACAAGTGGCTCAAACTCGCTCATTTTGAGGCAGGAACCGGCGGACGTGCAACAACTTTAACTATGAGGTAAACACAAAACTTACCATCCGGAGCTCCTTCACGGGACTCCACACTTGTAAACAATCGCTCGCGCCATTCGCGCGGCTCTCGGTCCCGCCCAGACTCGTCAGCGCTACCAAGCCGACCAATCACAGAGCTTACGCTACGCGTCGTTGCGACGTGTAGTTACATTTTTTGAGAGGTGCACGTCAGTGACGGCCACGGCGAAGGGCTATGCATCAGTGACGTAGCATACGCCGGTGTTTGACTCAGAAGTATAAATCAGCCTTAATAAGCCCTTGCTCAGTGTGTTATTTTAAACGCGAATAAAAAGCTGAAAAACGGAAGCCTCGTGGTTTTTAAGGTGGACCGGATAGTCAATAACAAGCTGCAAATAAGAAGCTAGATTCAGCCTTGTCCTTTCTTATTGCAAACACAACAGCATTCTGGTGTGAAATCTCTGTAGTCGAATGGCATTTCATTTCACGTTCAGCCTTATAATCTTAAAATGTGAGCAAAATTTGCTGTTTTGTCATCACCTTAAGGGGGTCACACACCAGAAGCGCCGCTTCACATTAAGCCATAGAGAATCATTCAAATACTAGCTCTAAAGTGACACTGGTGAATTAGTAGCGGCTTCTGCTGTTCTGACGTCAACTGCAGATGTGAATAAATGGTGGAAGAAAGTAGTTCCTAATTCAAAAGGGTTTTAGACTCTCTGTGTTTGATTGCCAACGCACGCCTCCCACCAGTGCTAATATACAGCCATAGCACACTGCTACGAGTGTGATATTGGTCATATATATATATATATATATATATATATATATATATATATATATATATGATGCAAAAGCCGCTAACTTTTTTGTGACCCACGCCAAGGGGTTGGGGTGTCCTAATTCTCTTTAGCTTGAAGGCGTAGGGCTAAGGGGAAGGGATGAATAGCCCTTCGAATGAAGATTTTTCAGGACCACACTCAAAACAAAGGGGTAAGAAAATTTCCCAGAATACACAAGCCACAGCGGCAGCATTGTTGAACGCGAAAGTAAGGTATAACAAACAAGCATATGTTTTAATATATTCATAACCACGTTCGTGTTTTACCATCATGCTTTAAAAAAATAAAAAAAAAAACGCCAAAAAAAAAAACGCCAAAAAAAAAAAAAAAGTAAAATACAAAAATAGAATTAGGATGGGCCCTAAGTGAATGTTTTGTGCACATAGTACACCATCAACAAATAGATTTGCTTCTAATCATCCAAATTTCAGCGCATTCAGAAATAATAGTTTGTTGGCATAAGCCGCTAAACGCCGCTTGCCTTTGACAGCAAAAGCCGCTATATCCCGAGAACCAATTAGAAGCGTGAATCGAATCATATGTTTTCAATGTAGCAGCGCGCTGATAAGCCGGCTTTATGAGACTGTTTTATTGCGCCTTTGATTTTAAAAGATGAAGTTTGATGAACTGGACGAGCCTGTCCAACTGTCAGTGAATGGCAAATGAAAACATCCCTTATTTCAAAACTCTGCATTATAAGCAAAAGTAAACACAATGTATAATTGTAGCATGCATTTATAACGTTTGCAGCGGCGCTACTTTGAATAAGTCCGATTCACTATAGTTACATTAAACAGCAACTTCATTTCACGAAAGACAAAGTTAAGATGACGTTTTTTCATCCCGCATGGATGCTATAAGGATAAAGAAGAGATCAAAAAGAGACCTAGATCTTGAGTATAGTGAGGATGAATAAACGACAGCTTCTGATCCTCTTTTTTTTGCACAGTAGGCCTACCCTGTGCTTTATTTGCTAATGCAAGCTATGTTTTAAAAGATAAATATGGTGTATAAAACTATGCATTATTTATATTACTTCAAGAAATTATTATTTTTTTTATTAATGGACAATTCACAGATATTTATATCTCACAATGTTTTTACACTACATTATTTGAATTAACAAGCTTGTTTACATTGTTCTACTTGCATTAAATCCAAATCCCAAATATTAAAACTTATAACAGATAGTTAAGATTTAAATAATGTCCATTTTAATGCAATTCATGCACTTGACAGATTTCATTCATTCAATTTCCTTCCGCTTAGTTGCTTGTTTATCAGGGGTTACCACAGTGGAATGAACCGCCATTTACTTGACAGATGTCTTGACAAATTTTAGGTGGTTTGTGTAATGTGTTTTATGTTTGTTAACATAATCTGTAATTGCATATTGTGATTTTCAACTAATTACACTGTCTTGTTCCAATAATAAGTGGATTTAGAGGTTTTTTGCATAAAAAGCAGAAGTGGATTAAACTGGATTTGACGCAAAATTTACCTTGTAAAAAACCAAAGAATTGTCTAAAGTGACATTTATGTAAAAAAGCTATTTTATTTAGTGGCTAATAACCTTATCATTACATATAAAATAAAATGAAACTTCTAAACCTAATCAGAGGAGCCTGATGCACATTTACAAGAGAAGAGGTCTGATGGATTTGGATTTTTGCACCTAACTCTTCATATACACTAGCATCCAACATTTTGTGACCAAAAGTGACTTTTGTCAAGTGTAAATAAACTTCCTTAATTAAAAGGAATTATTATTTAATGTATACAGTAAAGTATTTACTTAAATTTCTGACCAACTGATTACATGTTTGCTAAATAAAAGTATTAGTTTCTGTATTTATATGCAAGTAAGTACCAAAAAAAGTCCTGTTGAGCTCTGTTTATTTATGTGTTCTAAACCTCCCGCCTTTGGTCTATAAGTGTGCGGATATAATAGCTCTTTCTAATGATGTATACAATGGCTCAGATGGGATAAGCGGAGATAAACGTATGTGGTCCTGCAGGAACGAGGAGATTGTGATGCCGGACGAGCAGACGGGGCTGGTGAAGGAGAACTACGTGTGGAGCGTTCTGCTGCACAGAGGAGCCTCCGCTGAAGGGATGTTCCTGCATGTGCCGGACGGCAGTTATGACCGTGACCTCTTCTCCATGACCTGGGGACCCACCATTGCCGCCCTCTCCTATGTTTTCGACAAGAGCCTGGATGATACTATTATCGAGAAGGCTATTGCTGGCTTTAGGTAAGACCTGCAGATTAGAGTTCGAATCAAGTCCTTTAAATTGATGTGAAATTTTGAAAGTTGATCAAGCATGCATGTCATTATCTTTCATTGATTTGATGTGTATGCAGCCTACAAACAAAACATACAACAGACACACCACATTTTTTTGTTGTTGTTTGACGTTCTCTAAACCGAAACATGAAGAGAGGGTGGGATGTAGCTCCCACCCGTTTTTATAAACAGCCAATAACATTTTGTTTCATCACAGCCCTGCCATTGAGAATGGTTGAGCACAAGCAAATCAAATGTGAAGTTTCTTAAAGGGGGCGGGGCATGTCAGATACTAATAAGCAGTTGATTGGTTATGATTTAAAGAAAAACTAAAGTGAATAAAACTGTTGCTCCATTTATGCGGAAGTGACAAGCTTTATTTGTTTATATTAGTTTTATATCTTCCTAACCTCAAAATTTAGTAAAAATCATTATCTGATTATTCAGATTTTCATTTTGCAACTCAAAGAGGGTATTTTCAACTGCATGGAGCACAATAAACCAAGAAACATCCTGACTTCTGCCAGAAAATGGTTAAAAACAGTAATTTTCCTTCAACCTTTATACAGTCTTTTACAGGAAAATGATTATTTAATTGTTTTACAATTATAGTTTTTTTTTTTCATTAAAAACGTAATAATAAAATAGTGTTGTTTTTCATAAATATAAAACTACAAAAAGTACGGATAAGAGAACCATTAAAGTACTGAACCGATAAGTGCAGGGGTGATAGCGTTCCGGCACCACGCCGGATTTCCGGCGTACTGTGGCTGCGGGTAGGGTTGTGACGGTGAGGAAATTTCCCCACCGGTTAATCGACATGTGACAACACCGGTAATACCGGTATCACCGTGGGAGTGGGCATTTTTTCATTTCCTATTTTTTTCTGATTTTAAATAGCTTATAAATGCGTGCGTATAATACTTTCACTTTCAGTTTTGCGGGAGTTGCCAATTCGGTGTCAATTGTTTGAATGGACGGAAAGGAAACTACAAAAAAAATCCCTGTTATTAAACAAAACATAACTTTTATTTACATAACGAATAAAAGACAACGCTGCTACAGGCTGAAAAAACTGTGTAAGTTGGAACCATACAAATAACAACCATAAACGCCTATGTTATATTAACAGCTTAGTCCTTATGAACAATCCGTTTATAAAATACATTATTAACGAATTTAGGCTGTTGAAGAATAAACCGAATATGAAATATGATCCTTGCATAATAATCACAACTAAACAAGCGAGCACTCATTTTATAATTAAACTATATGAAAAAAATTAAGAATTGAAACATTATGTAAAAAATCAAAGGGCAGGCTAAATAAAAGCGCCTCGTCAGAGCTAAACACCGCATGTGTCAGTTTACAGCTTCTGGAAAGATCAGACAACCTATACAGATCACACAATCTCAATAAACAACATGTAAATGTATAAATATTTCGATAAGTATTGTTATGGAATATTTATAACTCTATGATCTTGCTTTTTGGTTATATCGATACAGCTTTGATCTCTCTTACAAGCGGCAGTTACAGGCGCAGCATAAGGGCGTCTCACACTGTCAGTGGCGGAATACACACAGCACTGCCAAGACGTTTTATTTTTATTTTATTTGTTGCAGATTTGCACGTTGTTCCTTTAAAAAAAAAACTTTTATTTTTTAATTCTCTCAAGTTAATGTTGTCTATCGAGTAACTATCGAGTCCCTCGGATTGGAGTTCAGTGCGAATTAAGACTATTGACCAACCGCCCTGTAAGTTTAAACACTACAGGTCCACAGCTCTGGTGTGGTATGAATTACACGTTTTAAATGACAGCGAGACATGCTACGTTTAGTTTTTATTGTAAAATATACATTATAACCCAGTACACGGTAAAATAATGTTTAGAATGCTTGTCTATTGACGGCGTATAGCCGTTAATTAAATATGCTGAGCATATTTTCATTAAAATTAAAACACATTAATACAAATTAGCCACCCTTTGATTTTTTTTTGTTTACGTATATTTTTATCAAACGAAAAATGCAATGAATTGTTAATTTTTGTTTTCATTTTATTCGAAATAATAGGCCTATAATTTATAGGCTACACAGCTCATATCTTTGGCTCCAATTGCGTTTTTACAGATATCCTACCAATAGACTTTTTTTTGGCTCAAAGACATTTATGCCTATTAATTTCAGAGGTGCATTTTGACAGATTTCGTAAAGGCTTCAGCTATTCTACCTGTCAGCTGCACCTGCCTAAGTTTTGCAACTTGACTTGTGTTGTGGCTCGATGTCTGAATGAGAGAGAGAGAGAGAGAGAGAGAGAAATCAGTCCTCAGATTCGATGTGTGGCCGCACGTCTTAGTTACTTTATTGCAATTTTTAATATTGGCTCATCTAAATAAACTTTTCATATATTAAAAGCCGAAATATTGCCAGACAGAAGAAGCAACTTTCGGTTTTTGAAGAGAGCGGCCTCAGTTATAAAAGATGCGCGCATACACAGGATTCGATCTTTTTGGCCTAGACATTATGGATTTTTTTGACATTAAACACATAATCAAGTGGAAATAAGAACAGCTGAACTTCGGAAAAAGTCCTCACGTTGCCACGATGTTTCTCTGCAGTTGGATTGTCAATGGCGCAGCATTGCTAAATCACTCGTTTTAATTAAAAAAAAGATATTTATTATTAAACATTGTGAGAAGATGGTCGCGTGAATTTTTTTTTAAATGAGAGTATGCGTTGCGTATGTATGGATCTATCCGCGACCCACCCATAGTTAAACATGAAAGTGCGTGTATAAATTATGTTTCCAGATACTGCCACCTTTGTCAGGCAAAGTTTGCAGATCGCCTCATTAACGTCGTCAGGTTCTCTTATGCATTTGGTTTGAACCCAAAATTTTGCCAAACATGCGCTTTTGCATTGCGTTTTGACAATAAATCGTCCGCCATCCTCTTTCTGTAAATTCGACTCCTCTTTCTCCTCACGTGGTAAATGAAATATGACGCACTGTAGCTTTAGATTTTAATTATAGAGCATGCTCTCGTTTTAAGTCAATTATTTATAATTATATTTTCCATTTATTTTAAATAAATGTTTAATAAAAAAAAAAAAAAACGAATACTTAAAAAACAAATGTGGGGACGGTGTCACGGTAGAAAAGTGATGTCACCGGTGTTGCGTCTTAACACCGGTATCACCGTCAACACCGTCTATCGTGGCAAGCCTAGCTGCGGGGGAAAAAAAATCAGGTTCACGGATATTGATCTGTCATTCACTCACTGCTGAAAGCGCCGGATTGGTTTTTATTAAGTGCCATTTTGTGTGCTCGTGAATCACCTTTTGAGTGTAGACGCCATGTAAATAAAAGATTAATTGTGTAATTTAGAGAGCTTTATAAATTATAACGGATCTTTGTGAGATCTCTATGAACTAAGATTAGTGACGCTTTTTAGTGATAATAAGAGGAGCGTGCTTTGCACTTTCCAGGCTATAATCCATTCAGAATTTGTATGAAACTTTCGTTTTCGGCACATATACGCTGATATGTTTTGGGAATGACATCTGCATATTTACGCTGGGTTTATTCTCGAAATAACGGCAATAGACGGGACAAAAATATATTTCCCCCTTCTCCTTAAACAACTTAGTGTTTCAGCTATGAAATAGTTCAGTTTTGTATGTAGCCTAATGGCAAAGTGTTTATATTTAGTTTCGTTTTTTATTCAGCTTATTTAGAAAAACGTTTGGAGCATTTTTTTATTCGTTAAAATTAAGTTTTTTTTTAACGAACAGCGCCCAGCGGAAGACCATCATTGTCTGTTTGATCAGTTTGCCTTCTCAGATCATCACGACTTGCCTAAAATAAAAGATATAAAACAGTTCAAGTATAAAACAATGGTAGCTTAAACGTTAAAGAATGTGTGCTATTAGGTGCATAGTTTGCTTATAAAAAGCTTGCAGGACATCGAGGCGCCAGAGCAATCACTTGCATTTTTTCAGTGGGAGCAATTTAAAGTTATCCTTCATTTTTGCTCACAAAGTACGAGTAATACATCAAAAAACATTACAGCGTTTTTATAAAATAAAGAAAACCAAAATTATGCGCTTTCTGACGTCTGGTTTTTGAACAGGAGCGCTTAACAAAATGAAGCAAAATGTATATGCCTCACAGACATAATAAATATATTTATAGAAAGCTTTAAATGATTACTTGACGAAATAAAACAAATCGAAAACAAGAAAACTCCTTCATGTAATCCGTAAAGATGAATTTCTAAAGGCGAGTCCAAGAGGAGATCAGTCAGGATCTTTGCGACACTGACTCAGAATAAGTTTATTAATAAATAATTAAGATATGTCCTTACTCTTTCCTCGACACATTCATTGTAATTGGTTTTTGCCGGTGCTTGGGGCGAGTTTTAGCTTATTGTGTGCGCCTGAACGCGGATTCACAGTAGCAGTTTTAACATGGAGTGACACGACATCTGACGTACAGATGACACTGGCACATTCCGGTGGCACGTCCGGTTTTCCACTGTCATGTGTCACTCGCTAGTGGCATGTGTAGTGACCTGTGTCACTCAGAGTGTCGCGCTGCATGTCACTGCAGTGACATCGACACCCGGCGAAGCTTATGACATTAATTAACACGAGCAAAACCATATTTAATCATTACGCGACTTTTAACCTAATTTATCGCGTCGCAAGTTAGTTTATTTGCTGAACTACTCCACGATGTTTTAATTTAAACGCATTTATTTTATGTATTCGTAGTCATACTTCCGTACGTAATATAGTCATTTGACAGTACATGTCAGTCAAATTTATTGTGGCATGCTTATGTATGGGAGGGGTTACACTTATCTGTTGTACTGTATATTATTGCATCCTGGCAGTTCCTTTGTTCCCTACAATATGGACTTCTCTATGTTTTTAATTCATTCATTTATTTTATTATTTAACTTATTTTCATTTTAAGGTATTTTAAATAATATCCTTTAAAAAGTTATAATAAAATGCATGTTGAAAACTCATAACATATATGCATGTAAGATAACAGGTGTCATTTGCCTAATGATTTTTAAATATTAAAGCAAAGAGACTTATAAGATTAATGTGCTTATAACGTGCTTATACTGACACCTACTGGCACATGTCACAAGATCACTGACACTGGCATGTGTCACTGACATTACTGGCATGTGTCTAAAAAGAGCCACTTGACAATAATGATGATCAGGGTTACACATAGGCTGTTAATATATTTTGGCCCAGGGGCCCACAAGTTATGTGTTAAAAGTGCGTTGCATACATAGTACCCCCACCCCTACTCACCTCAGGGGCAAGGAAAAAAGTTCAGGCTCAGGAATTTTTTCCACTATCAGCCCTGTAAGTGGTATCGATAAAAGTAGTAATAACTGAAGTCATTGCGTCAAACGACAAAAAACAAGGTCAAGAATCTTGGTGTGACTCTTGAGTCAGATCTGAGTTTCAATGGTCATGTCAAAGCAGTTAGTAAATCAGCATACTATCATCTCAAAAATATTGCAAGAGTTAGATGCTTTGAGTCCAGTGAAGACTTGGAGAACCTTGTTCATGCTTTTATCAGCAGCAGGGTGGATTACTATAATGGCGTCCTCATGGGCCTTCCCAAAAAGACAGTCACACAGTTACAGCTCATCCAGACCACTGCAACGCTGTACAGATATGCTCACTGAATAAAACCTAACAGATCACTCAGATCTATAGGATCATATAAACTAGAAATTCCAATAGTTCAGTCAAAGCAGGGTGAATCGGCTTTCAGCTACTGTGCCCCTCGCTGCTGGAAATGATCAGATGTGCTCCAACATTAGGCTGATTCAAATCAAGGCTGAAAACACATCTGTTTAGCTGTGCCTTTACTGAAGGAGCACTGTGCTATGTCCCACAGATCGCACTGTTAAAGTTTTTTCTTCTTTTTCATTCTTTTATAACCTGTTTAAACACAAATCCTTATTTGTCATTATCTGTTTTTTTTTTAACCATTTTTATTATTTGTTTTTATTTTTCTGACACTTCTCTCTCTTATTCTTGTTTATGTAAAGCACTTTGAATTGCCACTGTGTATGAAATGTGCTATATAAATAAATTTGTCTTGCACAATAACCATACCCAGCCCTATTCATGAGTCAACATTTGCCTTTCGTATTCTATAGATTTTCCTTAATATGCACAGTGTCCTATGTACATAAAAAAAAAAAAACAATGACTAATGCACCAGTCAATTCCATTTACACTCAGTACTGCTTTAGTCATTTTATTTAATCATTAGATGGCCCTTTTAAATGATCACTTGCAGATCCTTTTTACAACCTAACTAGTGTTTTATTTGCTGTAAAAACTTTAATTTCGTTCAGAATGCTTGCATTTAAGTGTCACTTGCACATCGTACCTGCTGGTGACAATGAACTAGACACATCTTGCATTATTAAGCTTACAGATTTATCGATTGGTAATTTAAATGACAGTTAATCATGGAAAAATGACTCTTAATTCACGTGTTAAAATTATTATTGATAACATGTGGTATATTTATGTGGATAAAAAATGTCCTCATCAATTACTCGCACTCAAGTGGTTGTGAACTTTTCTGAATTTCTAAACACAAAACAAGATATTCTGAAGAATGTTGGAAGCAGCCACAGATATCCATATCAGGATCAAAAAATACTATGAAAGTCAATGGCTTTGGCTTTTCAACATTCTTCAAAGTATCTTCTTTGTTGTTCTTTAGAAGCAAGAAACTCAAATGGGTTTGGAACAAGTGAAGTAAATGATCACAGGATTTTATTTTTTGTTTGAACTGTCCCTTTAATCAAGATTATAATGTTGATGCTCTTCTTTTGCTTTCAGGAAATGTGCCATGATCTCTGCACACTACGGCTTCAGTGACGTCTTTGATAACTTGATCATTTCACTTTGCAAGTTTACTACACTCAGCTCTGAGGTAAAGAACCTACCATAAGCATACCATTTAGGTCAGGAACAAATAGGTCTGATTGGAGTTTGTGTGCTTTTAGTCAGTAGAGAACCTACCCACCGTGTTTGGCAGTAACAGGAAGGCTCAAGTCGCCGCTAAGACTGTCTTCAGCCTGGCGCATCGTCATGGTGATATTTTACGAGACGGATGGAAAAACATCATGGACTCCATGTTGCAGCTTTTCAGGGCTGAGCTTTTACCCAAGACCATGGTCGAGGTGAGATGAGAGTGTCAGCATGTCACTTGAAATCCCATACCAATTGCTTCTTGCTCTGTGCATGTAGGAGACGCTATAGCAAAGATAAAATACTTCAGGCAATAGTGCCACCCACTGTCACATAGGAAGATTTGTTTTGATGTGAATGAATGTTTTATTCTTGTTAAAAGGTTGAGGACTTTTTGGATCCTAATGAGAAGATTTCTTTACAACGTGAAGAGACGCCATCAAACAGGTATGTTGGTCATGGTCTACCCAAGGGGGCTGCAAGTGATATAGTGGGTTGTTGGAAATCTTTGGAGAAGCAGTATAAAAATGTACTAATATAATATAATATAATATAATATAATATAATATAATATAATATAATATAATATAATATAATATAATATAATATAATTCCCAAAGATGGGTTGCGGCTGGAAGGGCATCCGCTGCGTAAAAATTTGCTCTAAAAGTTGGCGGTTCATTCCGCTGTGGTGACCCCAGATAAATAAAGGTACTAAGCCGAAAAGAAATTGAACGAATGAATAATAAAATAATATAATATAATATAATATAATATAATTTAATTTAATTTAATATAATATAATATAAATCATGCGGTTAAAACTTATTTTAAACAGTTTATTTCTTTTGGTCCTACTTTTTTCCACCCAAAAAATTTTCAAAAATTTTGAAAAGGTTTCAAACATGTTGAAAAGTTTGTCGCCTCACATATACTAATGTGCCACAAACAGGATGTTAATATCACCAGCCATTTCCTATTTTATTAAGGTGTGTCCATAAAAATGGCCCACCCTGTAAATATTTCACAGCTGTACTGGTTCTTTATATCATTTTTGTTATTTACCTATTTAATAGAGCTGTGGACCTACACTGGTCTCACGGTTCGGTTCGGCTACAATTATCATGCCATCGATTTGGTTCAAATTCGATATCTCGGTGTATCACTGTGCATTGACAAGGCTTTCCATACACAGTTTTTATTTTCTTCACAGCAGCAATTCTTGTATTAAAATCTATGAATATATTGATATTTATATACTATTTGTAATACAATTTTGTCGTTTAATACAAACAGTCAGATATATAAACTGTACCTTTAAACAACACAAGCATTTATAGCAATTAATATAAACAAATATAAATATCGCGCTCGCTTTCTGATCTTTGTCTAGTTCTCTTAGACCCCTTTGATTGGTCACACCCTCAATAAAAAAGGCTGCGATTGGCTCTTGCGCGCTGCGCTCTTCACAGATAAGTAACACTGATAAGCGGCAGGCGGCAGCGGTGATCACAGCTGATCCATGGTAGACAGCTTTGCAGGCACGCGCTCGTGTCTGTATCTAGAAGTATCACTGTAAAACACCCAAGAGGAGAGAAAAAGTCACGCCAGCAGGTCAAATGGGCCCACAGTGAGAGAGAAAGAGAAAGAAAAGGAGTATTTTCATTCTCTCAATCACAGTGAAATAGGGTCTTCTGCTGTAAGTGTCAGTGAAAGACTGTCCAGCAAACACACATGCAGTGAAATTGTGCACAGTTTCTGCGTTTTTAAGTAGTTGGAGTGTTGTAAATACTCGCGCTCGCCTCCCTCGCCATAGCGCATATGAGATAAATGACGTCAGTACACAATAACCGGTTATGATTATTACTGAACCGATACCGAATTGTCCGCGTTTGCATCGCAGTGCACCGAAGAAACAATTAATTTTGACACCCCTACTATTTAATAATATAGTGCTTATATAGTATTTATTGTACTTGTGGCTTTTAGTGCAAATAATCATTGCACTTTATTGAACTTTAAAGTATCCAAAATGTCTTAAGCATATATTTTTAAAAGGATATATATTTATATATTTCCCAGTGATGGGTTGCAGCTAGAAGGGCATCCGCTGTGTAAAACATATGCTGGATAAGTTGTCGGTTCATTCCACTGTGGCGACCCCAGAATAATAAAGGAAGCTGAAAAGAAACTGAATGAATGAGTAAATGTTTTTATATTTAAAATTTCTCGTTTGACCTACAAAAATAAGAGGCAGTTGTTTGTTTAAAATACAAAAATACTCTAAATAAACCTAAACGTGTATTTTCTGTATTGAATGCATTTGTTAGCACATCCTTTCATCAAACCAGTTTGTGCCATGATGCTGCAGTAATTGATGCCTGTTATGTAGTGAATGATCGTTTATTTGACTTTGTATTTGTCACGGTGTATGTCCTTTGGAGGCGAATATCAGGCTGTCTGACATTTGCGTGATGCCCTATCGAAATACAAATAGACCAACACCAGCTGGGAATCATTTACCTCTTATGAGAGCAATAACTTTCATCTTGATTCATGAATATACTTTTAGTGGTATTAAAAGAGTGTTAAGTAATTATTTAAGATTTGTGTTAAATGTGTTTATCATCTAACGCCTCACACTGATTCTATTGGGGAGAAAAGCTCTTTTTAAAAGTGTTTGTCAACAATGATTGTTCTTCTGTCAGGGGTGAGTCTGCTGTTTTGAGTTTTGTCAGCTGGTTAACACTGAGCGAACAATCAGGGCTCAGAGGTCCCTCCACTGAGAACCAGGAGGCCAAGCAAGCTGCACTGCTCTGCATAAAGGTACGTTTTCTTTTCTTCTTTCTTTCTCTTTCTGGTCTGACTTGTTCACATGAATAAGTTCAATATCAATATATCTCATCTTTCAGCAATGTGATCCAGAAAAGCTGAACACAGAAAGCAAGTTTCTGCAGCTGGAGTCTTTGCAGGAGCTCATGAAGGTGAGGTCAACTTTCACAGACTGGGTGCGTACACTGTAAAACCCAACGGTCAACTTTATCAAATGAAATAAGTGTAGTTAACTCAAAGTTTACGGAAAGTTAATTCTACTCATTTGAAAAGAGTTTTGAACTGTGTTGAATGTAATGAGTTAATTAAATACTTCATCACTTCAACTTCAATGGAGTAAGTTCACAGGTTTGTAGCAATCGGTTTCCTCAAACGGTTTGAGTTGCCTTAACTTATTGGGTTTTACAGTACTCAGTTGGTTTGAGTTCTCTTCATTTATTGGGTTTCTGTGCTCAGTTTGCTTTGTTTACTCAAATGAATTAAGTTCACAGTACCCATTAGGATTAGTTTTTGAACTAAAATGCTTTGTTGCAGTCAGTTTCCTGAAATGGTTTGAGTTACCTTAACTTTTTGGGTTTTACAGTGTACAGAAACCAAACTATCGTCATTTGTTCGCATTTTATCGTATTACATTAGATTGAGGTATTTCTGAATGTTTTCAGGCTCTCATCTCTGTGACCCCTGATGAGGAAACATATGATGAAGAAGATGCTGCTTTTTGCTTGGAGATGCTGCTACGTATCATTCTTGAAAACAGGTATTGCGCACGCGAACGGTTTGTGTTACTGTGTTGAGAATTACTAGTTGATGAAGATGTGGTGACAGAGAGATGGCTGTGTGTTTACAGGGACAGAGTATCGTGTGTTTGGCAAACGGTGCGGGATCATCTGTATCAGTTGTGTGTCCATGCTAATGAGAGCTGCTTCCTGGTGGAGAGAGCAGTGGTGGGATTGCTCAGGCTTGCCATACGCTTGTTGCGCAGAGAGGACATCGGCTCACAGGTACACATACTTGACATATACAGTACAAACTCACACTCTCTATGGTAACGTCACTGATCATAACAGGAGCTAAACCTTTTAGACTAGAACGAAAACAGTCGAGGTCCACACTGGCGTTTCACCTAGCATTTCTGAACAGATACACTGCCTCCACAATACACTGATGAAAATGCGCATCACATGACCACACACACACTCTGGCATGCGCTGCAGTTCATCAAGGATTTTCCGCTAGATTTCATCTCACTAAAGTTGTTAAGCGTTATATTTAATTCATCTTGTCTTTATCTAATGGTCTTTTGAATCCATTACTTGTTCTCAGGTAACATGTTTTTGGTGAGCATGAAGATAAATTAATATATTCAATTATGTTGCCACGTACACCGATTTGACTGATTGCTTGCCTTTATTTCCTATATTGTATAAACTTACTGTACATTATACTTTTAGAATGGCCATTATTGTATATTAAATCTAAGATTCGGTAAAAGAGAGAGACAGGGTATGTTTCATATTTTTCAACGAAAATAAAAGGAGGCGGTTATGTTAGGCTTTGTTTTGCTATAAATATGCATACAGTGAAGATGAAGGTCAAATAGATATGTAGCTAGACAATGCCTCAACATTTATAGTGTCTGATGAGTTAACATCAACATGAAAACAGGCAGTTCCTCATGTCATGTTTTTATTTTATTAAGAAAGTGAAACAATGTAGCCAGGATGATGCGAATGATGTTATAAAGTACACTGTTTTTACCCGAAGTGTCTTTTGTAATTGGTTGTGTATATCAAACCTGCGAAGTCTGAACTTAGGGAAAGGATGAAAGACTGAACTTTGTGCACTTAATATTGAGAAAAAGCTCCAATCAGATCATGCAAACATATGGAGCCACGTCCTCATTTTCATATGTCAGCGTTTTTATAAAACTGTTTTCAGGGCTCGAAAACTCCGGCGAAGTGTGGACGGAAGGCATAACCGTAGAAAAAAGTATGCATTTTGAAACTAAAATGTATTAGTGTAAACGGGGCCTCAGAGTTCAGCTCCATCCCTGATTAAACACAACTTAACCAATTAAGTAGGATCTGAAGGAGCAATTGGTAATTAAGGGCAGGTGTGTTTGATCAATGTTGCAGATAAACTCTGCAGGACGGTAGATCTCTGGGAACAGGGTTGAACAGCTTTAGACTTTAAAAAAAAAGAAAAACAAATGCCAATGGTTGCTTGTTGGGCATTGTTGGGTCATCAGTGGTTACCTGTCGAGCCAGCTTGGGAACTAATCAAACGGATGACAGTCGACTGAAAAGAGAACAATTGCTGCGTACCAATTCGCATACTTATACTACACTCTAAAACAGTGGTTCTCAAACTGTGGTACCCGTACCACTAGTGGTACTCGGGCTTCCTTCTAGTAGTACACGTAGGAATTGCTGAATAATAAAAATAATAAACTGAACACACCTTTAAGCCTTTGACGCGTATGATAACACTGATGTGATCAGCATTGGCTGTTACCTGAAGCCACAATCACACCAGTCTTTACCCGGTACCCGAGTCTGCTTGAAAACAAAGGTCGGTACATATCGAAATTTACGATTCACTTAAGATGTGATTTTAAGAATTTAAGAATTTAAGCGCTGTATTGATTCAATCACTCACTTGGTCCTACTTTATATTAAGTGGCCTTAACTAATATGTACTTACACAGGAATTAATAGTTTGTTAAAATGTACTTATTGTGTAAATACATGTATTTACTGTGTACTTGTGCTTGATTAAATACAAGTATCTAATTACATCTGTAGTTATTTTTTGTAAATACATTTGTAAACACAGTGTTGACCATCCCTTACACCTTAACCCACCCTTAAACCTACCCATACCACTCACTTTTCTGACACACATAGGCCCACTGGCTACTATATATTAATACTACAACTTGTACAAGTTTTCTTTTTACTTTTTGAGAACAGTGCCATTTTTTATGAACTTTCAAAAGCACATTCTAATTTAAATATTGAATTTTTTTTTTTTTTTTTTATATAATATGAATTAATTTGCCTAATTTTTGAGCTGTGCAGAGCTGTAGCTGCTTAATTAGCCCAACTACGCTACTATATTTCAATACTAGTTATTATGGGGGTACTTGGAGAGGAAATTTGTTTCTGAGGTGGTACTTGGTGAAAAAAGTTTGAGAACCACTGCACTAAAAGTATGTACTTTTTGTGAAGGAAAAAGTTATACATTTGAGTGTGTGAAAGAAGAGTATGCAAACTTTGGGACATACTACATGCTCGTTAACAGATCGTTATGTTGCTTAGTTTTGATCCCTGTCAATCATCCACATTTCTGTCGTATTTAATTTCCTAGCTTATTGGAGAAGGTGCAGCAGCAGTTTAATCTCCCATTCACGAGTCTTTCATGCAGAGAAATCTCCTCAGGTCTGTGGATAATATACATTTACATGTCGTTTAGCTGACGCTTTTATCCAAAGCGACTTACAAATGAGGACAAGGAAGCAATTTACACAACTATAAGATCAACAATGAATAAGTGTTGAAGGCAAGTTTCAGGTGTGTGAAGAGTGTAAGAAGCAAAATATTAGTAATTTTTTTTTTTTTTTGTAGTTAGTGGAGGAGTCAAAGAGGGAGTTGCATATTAGTAAGGAAAGTGGGGACTAAATAGTTGAGATTTTAGACGCTTTTTGAAGAAAGCGAGTGACTCTGCCATTCTGATGCAGTTAGGGAGTTCATTCCACCAACTGGGCAGATTAAATGCGAGAGTTCGGGAAAGTGATTTCTTCCCTCTTTGGGATGGAACCACGAGGCGACGTTCATTCACAGAACGCAAGTTTCTGGAGGGCCTATAAATCTGCAGAAGTGAGAGCAGATAAGAAGGAGCAAGGCCAGAGGTCACTTTGTAAGCAAACAACAGTGCTTTGAATTTGATGCGAGCAGCAACAGGCAGCCAGTGCAAACGGATGAGTAGCGGAGTGACATGTGCTCTTTTAGGTTCATGAAAGACCACTCGTGCTGCTGCGTTCTGGAGCAGCTGAAGAGGTTTGATAGAGTTAGCTAGGAGCCCGGCTAGTAGAGAGTTGCAATAGTCCAGTCTGGAGAGAACGAGATAGGATAGGGTCGGATCTTTTTTAATTAAAATATACATAACTGTTTTCTTAGTCATTTGAACTTTTCGATTACATTCATAACAAATAGAAACTACTAGAAAAGTCCAAAGTTCAAACCTGAGTCACGCAAGCAGCTGTCTTATTCAGTGCTGCCATTACTTATCAACAACTGTCACTATGGTGCTGCATAGGTACTGGGGTTCAGAACCCAAACCACCGTGTGAACAGTTCAGGGGGAGCTGGGCTCAACCAAACTTGAGTGTGAACCAGGCAGTCAAGCTCAATTTGAAGGTAGTCTAAGAATTGTCGTTGTACTCTCCACAGGTTCTCCTCTCCCTTCGCCTGCTGCTGATGATGAAACCTCACGTCCTGTCTAGAGTCAGTCGGGAGGTGGCCTACGGCTTGCATGAGCTGCTTAAAACTAACGCTGCCAACATCCACAGCACTGACGATTGGTACACTCTCTTTTCCCTCCTGGAGTGCATCGGCGCTGGGATCAAACCTCCGGCTGCTCTGCAGTTCGCCAACACTAACCCAGACAATGACACAGGTGATTCAAGGAATTCCCACTTATTTCCAACCATTTTATCTGTTTCTGTACCGCAAGATGCAGTCGAATGTGCCGTGATGTTTCTTTTCCAGATTGGCTTATCTTGTGTAATCCCTTTGTTTCAGGCGCGCAGTCAGACAGTGAACTCAGCTCATATCATCAGAGTGAAGTTAGTCTTGACCGGGGATACACGTCCGATTCTGAGATTTACAACGAGCATGGCAAATCCAGAATACCCCGTTCTGCTACTGATGTGGATGTAGGCTGGCTAGTGGTGAGTATCCACACAATGCACCAGAAAGCATTTTTTTATTTTAAATTATTTACATTTTAAAAGAATAAGCAGTAACAAAAACAACCATCAACAATGGAGAGGAAAAGGAAAAACTGTATAGGTTCTCATTCTGGTACATCAAAAACACTGTAATCAAACAGAAAATGTGTTTATATATAGTTGAAGTCAGAATTATTTGTCCACTGGATTTTTTTTTTTCCACAATTTCTGTTTAAAGAAGGTTTTTTCAACACATTTCGGAACCACTAATCAGGGTTCAACTCTAAGGATTTTTTCTACTGGTCCAATTGCAGTAGGGGTTCAGATTTTTACCTGCCCTGCCAGATTTTTCACTAGCCCCACCAAAAAATAAAGTTAATAGCTATTTCTTAGTCAGGTTGTAAATAATGTATCAAAATAACGTCTGTAAATCTAAAATTTAAATATTTTAAAAATGTTAATAAATATATAAGCAAAGTTCTAAGTGTTATGTAAACAATAATTACAATATGGAAAATGTGCAGGTATTTTTATGCAAAACAAAAGATGGCTGACTTGCCAAACTGACGGCAAACTGCAAAACATCACTTCCTTTTTTCGTCATGTTGTACCTACATAAATGTTTGCTACCAAGCTACTTAGCCTCATAATTTGACGTTGACGTCATGTTGCCATCTCTAAACATAACGTGCTCACAACATCCAATAAGATAAAAGAAACCGAAAAGCAATAGGTTGTTTATGACTTCACAAAGAAGGAGAGTTTATAAGCTTAAAAGCATAAACTGTTTCTCGATTCCAAGACTTTATTTTCACGCAATTGACAAAGTGGCAGACAAATGAAACTTTGGTTACAAGGCAGCGATGGCCCAATCAGACCAGTAACAATCCTGTCTACTGTCCTGAGTGTCTCTCACGCTAGCCCCGGGCCATCAGGCAGTCCTTATTGTTGAGCCCTGCTAATTTCTAATTAATGATTTCTTTTATCTTTGTTATAATGACAGAGCATAATATTATATGAGATATTTTTTAAGATATTAGTATTCAGCTTAATTTAAAGGCATGTAAAGGCTTAACTAGGTTAATTAGGTTATATCTATATGTGTACAACAGTCTCAATACTAAACTTTAAGGTAAAAATTGTTAAAAGCCATTATTATGGATTATATGGAGAGGTTTGCAGGTCTAGTTGGGGAGTTTTAACATAAGACGGAAAGGGCTTCCAAATTTTGGTAAAGGTTTTGATATGTCTTTGAAGGGAGTGTCTAATCTTTTCTAATTTTATTAAAAACAAATAAGTATATATATTTTTTATAAGAATGACAATAAAAAATTAAAAAAACAGTATATCCTTCATCCACTGTGCATGCAAGGGTGGTCACTTCAGTCACTAGGGCACGGATCCAATTCATATCAGATAAATTTCCACACATGAACAAGGCCTGAATCTGATTTGAGTCATTTGGAATCCATGTGATTTTTTTTCCTGCTTACACGTATATGGACCATATCCAATCAGTGCCACATAGGAGAAAAAAAATCGTAATTGAGTCACTTGAACCATGCAGTGTAAATGCAACCTGATAGATGACAGTGTTATATCTACATATTTAATGAACGAAAGAGATAAGACTGAAAGTTGGTGTTACTTTGTCTTATGGTGAATGCATTAAGTGACTGTATTATTATCAGTAACGTTACCTATGTAGCACAAAAGTTAAAAACATACAAAAACGTAAAAAACTAAATTTTACCCATAAAATGTTCTGCCTTTGTGCTTTGTTTTCTTTGTTTGCTTATTATTACACCCATAGACAGCACTAAAGTCCAGCATCTTCACCTAGAAACACTGTCTTGACTAGTGCGATTGACTGTACAAATATGGCGGTGCTAATGACGCATGCTCAGGGACCGTATGCGATATCTAGTGTATATATCGCAGCTGCAGCAGGCTCCACTCAGTGTCCACAATGTACAATACATTTTAACCACATCCAAACGCTTATAAATGATATTCTTGTATTGTAAAATGGTTATAAAAACATGAGACCGAGAGGTAATTTGATAAAAAATAACAACAATATTATTGCGTTATAGCTTAAATATACTTTATAACGCAAAAACAACATTACGCACACATAATACTGCTGTTTTGTGTCAGTTAATACAGTTAACTGTTAAAACTCAAACTTTTAAGCCAACTGGTTGAGTTATTAAATAAATAACCAAATGAAGGTTAAAAATAATCCAAAAAAGCACCAAATACGTTTAACTCAACTATTAGTTTAAATAAATAACGCAAAGTTTTTTAGATTGGGAGCAGCACAAATACAATCAAAGCCTAAAAGGGGCAGCGTCAAAGAGTTCAAACAAAAAATTGTGGGGGTATTTTGAGCTGAAACTTCCCATACAAACTCTTGGGACATCAGAGACTTATTTAAAATCTTGTAAAAAGGAGCATAATAAGAACAATCTCTTTAAGAACAATATATAACAACCTTCAACCATCTTCTGTGTTGTGCAGGTGGGTAAAGATGACCTGGACGGAGCTAAGGCAGCGGTGACCACACCTTCAAAGCCCATGAACCATCCTCTCGTTAACCAGTACAGTTTAACTCTCGGGCAGGACATGGGTCTGCATGATACCAAGTCCCTCATCAAGTGCGTGGATTCGCTTTCCTTCATCGTACGCGATGCTGCTCACGTCACTCCAGAAAACTTTGAGCTTTGTGTTAAAGCCATTCGTGTGTTCGTGGAGGCCAGCCTTAATGGAGGTGTGTGTCTTTTAAAATTTTTGAAATCTGCCAAAATTAAGGTTATTTAAAGGAACACTTCACTTCACTTTTTTAAACAGGCTTATTTTAGCTTGTCTAATTTCCTTTTTTACTTGGTAGCACCGTTGCTCCCATTTTCAAATATGTTAGGAGCACCATAAGCAATTTAGAAGCACCCACCAGTTAATGAGCACCACTGCAAACTGGATATTAACAGATTTATTGTATTTGAAAACATCATCAATTAGGACTAACAGAAACCAGAAACCACTAACCAATTCTGTTATAGCTTATTGATATTTGTGCAAAAATTGCTAAATGAATGTCTAGTAATTATAAAATATTATGATGACGATGATGATAATACCAACAATGAATAACATTATCATGCCGCTTTGAATGCGAGTTATCTGCTATAAAAAGTCCAACTGTTACATTGACAAATAAATCTATAGTTTGCATCAAACAAAAATGAAGCATTGCAGTAAGAAATAATCATTTTCCACTATTGTTTTTATACGCTTGTCAATATAATAACCAGAAGAAAGAAAAAAAAATCTCACTTCTGCCATTCTTTAAAGGTTTTGATTTCAGTTTGTGTGATTTTTAAATGCTCAGTCTCGTTATGCGTTGATTTACTTTTTTTGTGTTTGAGAAAAAAAGCAGGTGAGTCAGCTGACCCAATGAGCTCTGAACACAGTGAATGCAGTGCATCGAGATTCGGGCCTTTAAACAGCTGATCCACTCAGAGTATTTCAGCACTCTCTGAAAACACTGGATTGATCTCGGCTGACGAATCATATCACGGCATGATCGCTCTCATCGGCACCAATATATGTAACTTAAAGTGGGGTTGCAAACCTGTGTACTTTTCATTGCTGCTTCCTCAAACTTCAGCCACTTGCAGTTTCCGCAGTCACAAAAAGTCCCATCTCAACAAGTGCGCCTAAAAAGTTTCAGCGCAAGGCGTCGCATTCGCGTCCCTCCATTCGAAATAATGACTTGCACAAGCTTGCTTTAGTTAATAGCCTTGGTCATAGTTAATCCAATTTGAGTGGTTATTAGTCTCGGTGTACAAACTAGCGCACCGTTGGCATAACTTTAGTTGTCGCAGTTTTGATCCTTGCAGAAATCCGGTGTTGAGAAGCTTTTACGATTAATTAACCGTGACGAATTAAAGCATGGTGAATAGTGAAACTGGTTAATCATTGCATACCTAAGTAGGAGCGGTGGTGGTGGTAGTATAAGTGGTGGTGGTAGTAGTGGTGTTGTTCGTGGTAGTATTAGTTGTAGATAGTGGTAGTATTAGTGGTAGGATCCCTACGATCCCCATCCAAACGCCTTCGTGTGCTTTTACCCACGTGGGACGTGGGCGGGACTGTGACTTGCGCCGGAAATGGCTGCTGGACCAGTTGGCTGCCCGCACTCAACGGACTGTTTTCCATTACCCCTATTCCCATCCCCTCTGTCTATGTTGTGTCTTGCCAGTGTGCTTATGCTAAGATAGGGCTGTTTTTCTCCCTTTTCTCACTTTGTCCTAATCAAGGGCAAGCTGAGGGGGTGTTTTTTAGCCTAACTGTCCAAATGTATCTTTCTTCGTTTCTAAATGCTACCTCCTATGATCTGTCTCCCCTGAAAAGTTGTTTGTGATGTTTTGTGTATGGTCTGGGGGGTCCAATTTCGCTATACGAAAGTGTAGTGACAAATAAAGGCTTGATTGATTAACCTAGGGGTGTTGTTCGTGGTTGTATTAGTAGTAGTATTGGTGGTAGTAGGTGTAGTAGTTGTAGTGGTGGTGGTAGTAATAGTGGTGGTGGTAGTAGTTTTCATAGTTGTATTAGTCATCCTGGTCACCGTCTTAATAATAATAATATCATATTAATAATAATTATTCATAATGATACTTAAGTAGATGATGATGAAAGTAATATTCGACACCAACAGTGATAGTGAATTATAGTGAAGATAATAACATCAATAATTATAAATAATGACGTAATAACTTGACACACAGCCATCGCTCCAGTTTTATGCCATCGCACTAACCAATTGTTAGTTCATAAAGCCAAGTTACATTTTATTTGATGATACCTTTCGGGGGGGTATTTTATTCAGAGTTTGACTCCTTGTGGGATTAGAGTGTCTGCTTGACTTCCGTGGCTTTTGTAATTGAATGTGTCAGTACCTGTAAGCTCTTTAGTGCTGTATCTTGAGCTGTGCTCGACTGGTGAGTCATTTCACTCGGGGGCAATTCAACTGTCTTGTTGTGCCCTCTCCGTTTATCCTTCACCCTGTCTCTCAGTTTTTTTTTTCTATCCGGGGTGGTCTGCGATCTACAGTAGGCTTAGTCGAGACTCATTCAGCACTTTGTAGCTCCTCTGCCAATCAGCATGGCCTTTTCATGAGCCGGAGGCCTATGTTTACTTGGGAAGATACATGCTGTCATCAAGTGCTTAAGAACTCACTTTGACTGCGGCAGATCAAAGTTTTGAGGTTTCAACGTCTAATGGACAAGAGCACTGGCATAATGATATGGTGGATTTCGGCTTTATTCTCTATTTTTTTGTTATTTTTTTGTAACTTTTTTTGATTAAGAGTGCAAAATATACAACATATGGTAAACAAAGATGGGGTGATATGATCATATTTTTTAGACCTAGTTAGAATTCTGGCTGCTGCATTTTACAAGCTGAAGTTTATTAATAGAGCATTACAGTAATCCGGCCTAGAAGTCATAAAAGCATGAACTAGCTTTTCTGCATCTGAGATAGTTAGCATGCTTCCTAACTTAATGATATTTTTCAAATGAAAGAAGGCAGATTTTGTGACAAAGGAGATTTGATTTTTTTTGTTGTTGTTTTTTTGCGACAGACAAACATTCATTCAGTAAAAGCATGACCATGATCAGGGATGCCGCTGTGGGGGTGGAGGGTTAGGATGATTCTAAGGGCCCACACATTTAGGGGGCCCCCAGAGACATTATCAAGGGCCTGCTACTAACACCCACCTGACCGTGATATGCATACGCCTCCATTTTGTCGCTTTGTTTTTGTAGCCGTCACCTAGAAATAGCTGTACACAAAAAAGCAGCTTGATGACGCAAGTGTACGGGGGTTCAACAGGAAAGAAAACAGTGAACCAGCCAAGAAGGTAGCAAGGGGGGACAATCAAACTTGGGTTCGGTCTAGGCAACTGAACCAAGTGTGAAAGCACCCGAAATCATTGTTGCACTAATGCCATCACCATGGCAATTCGAAAGAAGTTGTTATTAGAAATTTGTTACTAATTGTGCTTTCACACCTAGACCTTTTGCCCAGTTAGCGCAGTTCTTTGGCATATGAAGTCTCCACTTCACTTCCTAATCTGCAATTGCCTCTCTGGATATACCACTAACTGTACTCAAAAAAAAAAAAAAAAAATTCTAATGCTTTCCTTCTTAGACTTTACAGACCTGAAACTTGCCTATAGCACTTATTCGTTGCTGCTCTTAGAGTTGTGTAAATTGCTTCCTTGTCCTCATTTGTAAGTCGCTTTGGATAAAAGCGTCTGCTAAATGACTAAATGTAAATGTAAATATGTGAATCCAGCAATCGTGCTTGGATTAGCGTCAAAACAATTGGTCCGAAATTGCCTGAATGAGGTGGTCTCAGCTCGATTGAAACGAACCCTGGAGCAGATCGATTGTAGTGAGAAAGCGATACGATCCGAGCCCGGCTATATCACAGTGTTTTATAGATATGTAATAGAAGAGAGAATTATGTGTAGGGCGGGAGGTCATTCCAGACATCCCATGTCCGCCGGAAGTTTAGGCAGTCTCCCGCAAATGCACAGAGACTCCCAGACACCAGCAAACAAGTGATAATATCCTGGTAATCACGCGTCTCCCTCCCGGTCCTCACATACGTTGCACACCCTTCTCATCCTCCCCACCACATCCCTCCTCGGTTCTCAGACACGTCATGCGCACCCTGTCAGACACCACCAAACCACCACCCCCCGACAGCTGAGCGGGACTCTGCAATATAAACCGTGAAACTCTGACCAATGTGAGGAGAGTTTACTCACTCTTGACTTGTTTTTGGTACGTTTAGAAACTTTGCAGTGTGAAAGCGAACCGCACCAAGAACAAAGAGCAACATTGTAACAATTTTTATCCCTGTTTCGGAACAACTGAATCAATTCACAGGTCTGAAAGCACCCTAAAACAATTAGGTTTAAAACGTGTTTAAAAAAGCATCTTCTCCAGGAAGCACACCTTAAATGTTTTTAAAAGTATTAAAATTTCACAATTTTGACTTCAACTGCATACTTAATCTGAGGTGGTGCTGTATTACACAGCGTCCAAATCAACATGTGGTGCATTAAAAGCAAGATGCTTGATATGAGAACACAACATTTTCCATGCAATTTCAAAATGTCTGAGAGAGGTTTTTCTAATCAGCAAATAAAAGGGTGTGAAGATGGAGAAACCCGGTTAGAAAATCAGCACCTGTGATTCATCCTCATAGCTTTGTTTGCAGTCATTATGGAATTGCTGTAGTTGACGGATATGAGAATAAGGAGGTGTGCGCTTGAAAGCTTAATTTGATTCGCCTTGTTAGTCAGTGTTGATTTTGTTTCCACGCCCTCCGCAGGCTACCGCACCCACGAGAAGAAGAAGAGCCACAAATACGACTCCAAATCCAGCCGGCTCCGAAAGAAGCCACGGGAGAAGGAAGGTGCATCACGAAGAACCAAAGCGTCCAGTCAGCGGCCCGCCCGTTCCCATAGCGACGATGAGGAGGAGGAGGGCGTGCCGGCCAGTTACCACACGGTGTCTTTTCAGGTTAGTCTGGATGTAAGTACAACAGCCCTTTCCCTAATTCCTCAATCTGTCCATCATCATGTTTGCTGATATGCTCAGTGAGGGGAGGAGCATGTGTTTATTTCAGGGTTCAAACTGCAGAAAGATGAATATTTATGTTTTATATCTAAGGCCTTTTAAGTTTGCGAACTCATTTATGATTTAAATGGGGGAAAAAATCAAATACTACAGATTCTTTTGTTTTTGTTTTCTACAATTAACTTTAAGTATTTTTTGTCTGAGGCTTTTTTAGTTTGTGAACTCATTTCTGATTTAAGTGGAAAAAGTAATTATTAAGAAATTGATAATTACGATCTTTCACAGCAGAATCAAGTGTTCAAGTAAAATTTTGAAATCGAAAAGAAGATTTAGGGTGGAAAAAAGTAAGCCCAAAAGAAATCAAATGTTTAAGTTTTGACAGCATGATTATTAGAATTTTTAGTAACACTTTATAATAACTACACACTATGAATCATTTATTAAGCATTAGCAAATAGTGGATTCATTATTTGTTAAGCATTAACTCTACATTAAAAAAAACGTTAGTAAGTAGTTTATAACCACAGCTACAAATGCTGTATTCTAGACTTATACACACATTTGTAATGCACTTAATAATTGTATTTTCATAATTTGTGAGTGATATATTTTTTATTTCTAAATGTAATAAAGGATCATTTACAAACCAGTTCTATTTAAGAGTAGTTGATGGTTTTTAAGATCATTCAGAATGAGTTAGTAAATGAATAATAAACTATTTAAATCAACCTTTATATATTAATGGTTACTATGTATGTTAATAAATGCTTTAATAACTCAACTTCAAGCAGTTTTGTGAGCTAATCTAAAGTGAGGACTATTTATGCTTCGTAAATCACTTAAAAATGACAATTAAATACTTAGTATTAAATGAACAATAATCTTTGCAATCCTATCTAAAAATAAAACTACTGTAAAAATTGGTTAAAACAACAATAGAATAATTTAACAATATATTATAATACAACATTTCAATGTTATTTAGCGATGTCTAAATTGTACAGTAATTTTATTTTGAATAAGGTTGCAAGATTTATTTTCTCATTTGATTCAGTTTAATTTGTGTATCTTCAAATGAACAGAATTAAATGTTGTTTTTGTTCTTTTTTTTGTTTAGAATGTTACTAAGCCTTTAATTGTCATTTATAAGGGATTTCCGAAGCATAAATAGTCCTCACTTTAGATTAGGTCACAAAACTGGAGGAAGTTTATTTAATAAAGCATTTATTAACATACAAATTATCTATTAGTATACCCCAGAATAATAAGAATTATAAATGTTGATTTGAAAAGTTTATTAATCACTTACTCACTCATTCTGAATGATCTTTAAAAACCACCAACTATTCTTAAATAACTGGTTTGTAAATATTAAGTAAAAATAAAATTTATAAATAAATAATAAATAAAAAGTGCAATATTTGATTTAGTAATGAAAAATGAATCATTAACAAACTATGAAAACACAATCATTAAGCACATTACACATGTGCTTAAGTCAAGAATAGAGCATTTGTAGCTGTAAACTGCTTACTAACGTTTATTAATGTAGAGTTAATGCTTAACAAATAATGAATTCACTAGATGGTAATGCTTAATAAATGTTTGATAGTGTGTAGTCTTAACACTTAATGTTATAGATTTTTTTTATTATATTGTGCTTATTATATATTATATTATATTATATTATACATTTATATTATATTATACATTTCATTATATTGTATTATACATTTCATGCATTTTTATCTGATTTATGATTTGAATGGAAAATACTTAAGAAGGTTTTAACAATTCACCTTTTAAAGTGTTTTTGTTAGGTTTTTAACAGCAGTGGTCAAGTAAAATTTTGAAATTTTAAATAAAACTAAAGACCTAAAATAAATCAAATATATAAAGTAAATTAAGTATTGCCATCACAATTTTTACGAATATTATTAAAGACAAGTTTTTGTTAATTTTATAATTTTATATATTATATTATAGCTATATTTAATTAGATATTATATTTTAATTTGCTTAAAAAATTAAAAAGAATCTCATTATGAATCAAATGCAGAACAAAATATAAAAAAAAGGTTATTAAAAACTGAAACAGTATTCACCGTAACACTTAATTGTAGTATTTATTTTGCTGTCAGGGTTTCCGCAGAGTCTTAAAGTCTTAAATTTCAAAAACTAAATTTTAGGCCTTAAAAAGTCTTAAAATCACTGAAATATTGTCTTGTAGATCCTCGATCCTTTTAAACAAGTCTTAATTTTCATCTGTCAATGTCTCCAATCACCAACAGTCCATCGCAAAAAACCTTCAACTGAAATCTATATACTAATATGTTATTTTATTTTTTTTAAAGAAAAGTCATTTTACAAATGTGCATGTATACAACTAGAGTTTGCTTGTGTTGATACATTATTTTAAATATGTGGCAAAGAAATAACTAATATGAGACTAATTATTAGCTATATGTATATTATTTGTATGAGGCAGGTAAACTTTTTTTTCCACAACCAACCAGGAAAAAAAACCCTTAGTGTTTTTCATTTGTAATTGTCATGATTTCCGTTGTGATATCATCTTTGTGATCTGTAATTTGACAATTAAATTCTCTTAATTATCAGTCATATTGTGGGAAAAAAAAGTATATTATTATTAAATGCAGATTTGGTCCTCTTTGCATGCTTCCCCATGTTCATAATCTGAATGATGCACATCAGAAACAATATAATGTTGTCTGAACGTCATATCAAATGTATAGCATGAGTTTTCTCCTTTGTTTAATTCCACCCAATTACCCATCATTTCTCAGTAGTGGTTGTATAACAATCAATTCTATTGTTCCCATTAATAACATCGAAGTGCATCTGTCTGTAAAGCAAATATGCATTTAATACAGCAGCTATACCCTGAGTGTTTAGCCACTATTAAAAGAGCCTGTTTGCCCATATAGTTGTTAGACCTGATGCACACACTGCACACGCGAGCAGCCGGCATCTACAGCTCCTGGGCGGAGGAACAGCGCCATCTAGAGGATGCAGGAAAGAAGATCGAGGCAGACTCTCAAACGCTGTGGACCAGCTGCTGGTGTCCGCTCCTTCAAGGTCAGAGATAGTAGCCAAACAACACAAAAACAAGCCGTGGTGTTGCTTAAAATACAAGCATATTTCATCATTAACAAATATCTGGTTTAAAGGGATTAAACTTCTGATATCATTTACTCAGCCTTGACTTGTAGACTCTTTTTTTTTTTTTTTTTTTTTTTTTTTTTTTTTAGGAAAAACAAATATCATGGAAGTCAATGGTTACCGGTTTCCAACATTGTTCAATATCTTCTTTTAAACAGAATAAAAACATTCAGTTTAGTTTAAGTATCAATTCAAATCACACTGAACTGAGCTAAACTGAACTGAACTTAAACACTAAAACCTGAACCACACTGTTCCAGTTACTGAACCACACTGTTCCAGTTACTATGACCATTTATGTGAAGCTGCTTTGACACAATCTACATTGTAAAAGCGCTATACAAATAAAGCTGAATTGAATTGAATTGAATTCTCACAATCAACTACACTGCAAAAAATGCTTTTCATACTTAGATTTTTTGTCTTGTTTCTAGTCCAAATATCTAAAAATTCCTAAATCAAGAAGAATTTTCTACACAAGCACAACATATTGTCTTGTTTTGAGAAATAATATGCCAATAATAAGTGAGTTTTTCCTTAAAACAAGCAAAATAATCTGCCAATGGGGTAAGCAAAATAATCTTACGTCAAAAGAAAAAACAAGATTATTTTGCTTACCCCATTGGCAGATTATTTTGCTTGTTTTAAGGAAAAACTCGCTTAATATTGGCATATTATTTCTCAAAACAAGACAATATGTTTTGCTCGTCAAGAAAATTCTTCTTGATATGAGAAATTTTAGATATTTAGACTAGAAACAAGACAAAAAATCTAAACAAGAATAGCATTTTTTGCAGTGTATTGGCTTATTACCTGCCTACTATTAAGATATTGGCTTATTATTTGTACTTATAATGTAAATATTCTTTATGATCTTATTCTACATCCCTCATTTTACCCAATGCCTAAATCTTACTAGTCTTAATAACTATTAAGTAGAAAATTAGGAGTGTATTGAGCTGAAAGTCATATTTAATCATTTGTTATTGGGACCCTTAAAATATAATGTGACCAAAAACTGGTTTGAAACAAGTCAAGGATGAGTAAATGATGACCGAATTAAAATTATTGTGTGAACTAACCTTGTAACTTGTAATATTAGATGTTCAGAGATGCTCTATGATATTTTTTTATTTTATTTGATTTTGTCTACTAGGTATGGCTTGGTTGTGCTGTGACGCACGTAGACAAGTCCGCATGCAAGCACTCACTTACCTGCAAAGGGCACTTCTGGTCCATGATCTACAAACACTGGATGCGGTGGAGTGGGAGTCCTGCTTCAATAAGGTCGACTAGCTCACTATTTAAAATGGTTTTCCTATAACTGTTCCGTAACCCTTATGTTATGTTGGGGATAAACTCATTCACTACAGGGTGGTGTTTAGTATTTATTTGGCCACAACTTTTTCTATTTCAGCAAATGGAATAATTTTTGGTGATGATCTTATTTTTACATATATTGGGAAAATGCTTTGAACTTTTCAAAAACTCAGGAATACATGGTGTGCAATTTAACTACACTTTTGTCATGTTGGTGGTTGTTTTTGCCCCATTGACTTTCATTATGATGAGATTTTTTGAATGCAAAGACATGACACCAGATAATCATGCATTTTTAATTGTTAGTGGTTTGAATTGAAGAGGCAGGGTGCCGTTTTTACTGTTGATCATCAGTTCCATTGCAAAAAAAAAAAACAAAAAAAAACATACTTTCTGGTAGGGCTGCTCGATTTTGGGAAAAATTATAATCACGATTATTTTGGTCATAATTGAAATCACGATTATTCTAAACGATTACTGTTAAAGTCAAAATTATTAGCGCTCCTGAGAATTTTGTAAAAAATAAATATTGTCCAAATGATGTTTAACAGAGCAAGGAATTTTAACTGTATTTCCTCTTATATTTTTTTTCTTCTGGAGAAAGGCTTTTTTATTTTTATTTTGGCTTGAATAAAAGCAGGTTTTTTCAAGCAAGTCTATTATATTAGCCCCCTTAAGCAATATATTTTTTGATTGTCTGCAGAAGAAACTACTGTTATACAATGACCTGTCTAATAACACTAATTAAGCCTTTAAATCGCACTTTGAATCTGAATGCATGTATTTTGAAAAAATATCTAGTCAAATATCATGTGCTCTCATCATGACAAAGATAAAATCGATAAGTTATTAGAAAAGAGTTATTAAAAGCTATTATGCTCAGAAATCTTCTTTCCATTAAACAGAAATTGGGGGAAAAGGGTTGCTAATATTCAGGAGGGCTAATAATTCAGACTTCAACTTTATACAAACAGTTATTTTCCACCCTGCAAAGGAAAGATAAATAAATACAATAGAATAAAAATATAAAACAACATGTGCTTTAAGCATCTTCACTTTAAGAAACACTTTAGCTACAAAAGTCCTTCAGTCAAGAGCAGAGGCATGTTCTCCATTTGTTGTTTGATTAATAATCATAAAAACAGGCGGCAGAAGGATTTTAGCGCGCTGTCTCTTTAATAGTTTCTCTTTCGCGTCTCTTTTGATTCTCAACTCGTTTGTTTATTACACAAATGATGCTTGATATGAATAATCACTAAACGCCGCGTTTTGACACCTCTTTGACCATTAAAGTAATCACATTAAGATGACTTTAGATGTGTGCGCTGACTGCGCTCTGCTCGTCTCAGTGTGTGAGTGAGACCGAATGCTGACTGCATGCTTCAATTCTGTGTGTGCGCGGCACACATAATCATGCAGTCTTTCGCGCTTTTAAGATCAACACGTGTACAACTGGAAAGGCGGCGGTATGTGATGGAATAATCGTTTATCTCGATTAATAATTTTTCATAATCGTTAGAAGGCAAAATCGAAATCAGATTTTCAATTAATTGCACAGCCCTACTTTCTGGCTTTGTATATGGAGTAAAGTGTGTGTATTTGTGCTATTTGTGTATTTGAACTACTGTGAATATCGGTTTAGTTATAGATCAGGTTAATCAGATATGTCGAGGTAAAATACTATGGCAAAGCAGGTGAGGGCAAGTAAATAAAACACTCCAACTACTAAAAAGCAGATAATTGTGCACAATTCACTGCTTGAGAGTTTGCTGGACAGTCTTTCTCTGACACTGAAGAAGGTTAAGACACGAGCAATCATAGGAGTGCAAGAACTCGCTTGGACAGTGCTCAAAAAGCAAGCGTGATTATATTTACATTTGTTTATTTGCTATAAATGCTCATAATGTCTTCTGTGAATGTATTTGAGTTTTGTTTTAAACATTCAAAAAGAGTGTTTTCTTTGAGCAGGTCAAATTAAAGGTACAGGTCATATATCTGACTGCCTGTATAAAAGGATAAAATTGTTTTACAAATACATATATAAATGTATTTATAAATTTCAGTAAGAAAAAAAATGCACACTATAAATTGCTATTATGCTTCCTATAACTCTTATAAAAGCCAGAAACTAAGTTTTTTTGTGTGTATCTAAAGAGTTAATAGTGCCAACTGATCATCAACAGTAAAAATGACAAATTTGACCTCTTCCCAACAGGTAAAACCCCTAACAGTCAAGAATGCATGGTTATATGGCATCATGTCTTTGCATACAAAAAATGTCATTATAATGAAAGTCAATGGGGCAAACACAGCCACCAACAGAAAATGAGGGAGAACATTTTTTAATGCTGCACAAAATCTAACAACGCATCAAAGCCAGTGTTGTTACTGATCTAATAAAAGGTCCACAGTTACCTGTTATTAGCGGTGTGAACCTACACTGCTCTCATGGTTCAGTTCTGTTACGATTATCATGCCATCGTTTCGATTCAATTCGATATCTCGGTGCATTGACGATGCTTTCCATACACAATTTTATATTTTACTTCCCAGCACAACAATTGTTGAATGAAAATATAGCATTTTTAAATACGTTTAATATGTATACAAGCAGTACGATATAAGAACTGTACCTTTAATTTTACCTGCTCGAAGAAAGAACTTCTTTTTTTTTTTTAATGAATCAAACAAAACTCAAGTATATGCACAGAACAACATGAGCATTTATAGCAACTAAACAAATGTGAATATTATGCTGCTTGATTTTTGAGCATTGTTGAGCGTTGTTAAATGCCTATGATTGGTCACACGCTCAACAGAAAAAGGCTGCGAATGTGCTGGCGCTTGACAGCGGCGATCACAGCTGATCCATGATGGACATGGTGGAGAAAACTCGCTCTGCAGACACGCTCTTATTCAAATCCAGAAGTATCATTATAACAGCCGAGAGGAGAGGAAACGTAAGATCAAAGGTCCACAGTGAGAGAGCGTGAGAGAGAGAGAAATGGAGTTTACTTTCTTTTTCTCCGTAACCGTAAAAAAGGGCATCTGCTGTAACTTCAGTATCAGTGAATGACAAACACACGCACTAAATTGTGCAGAGTTCCTGTGTTTTAAATACTCACTTCAAGGTATTTTACTGCGACATATGAGATAAATGACGTCAGTACATAACAACCGGTTAGAATCTATTACTGAACTGATACCAAGTTGTCCGCGTCTGCATATCGATGCACTGAAGAAACTGTTAATTTTGACACCCATACCTTTTAAATTAAAAATAAGTCATTTTGTGTTTGTTTTTCTCAAATCAGTGACGTAATGCACTTGGCAACTAATGAGCCAAAACCCTGGATTAAACAAAACGTTTAGTAGATTTGATCAGCATTGCGGTTGCTTAATTGATTTATGCAAAACAATTAATATCTATCTGACACATTTTTACAGCAGTTTAATCTAGTGAATATTTTCATCTCCAACATAATAAAAAAGCAGTACATTTCTCTTTGAGTTCAATACTAAGGTTTTGATTGTGTTGTGTCTCTCTCTTCAGGTCCTGTTTCCTCTGCTGACCAAACTTTTGGAAAATATCAGTCCAGCTGATGTGGGTGGCATGGAGGAGACCAGGATGAGGGCCTGCACACTGCTTTCCAAGGTCTGGGCTTAGATTCTTTTTGTCTGACTAATATTACTATCTTTAACTGGATTTTCTCTGATTTTGTTGATTACTTGATTTGTTGATGAGTGTTTTTGGCCACCTCAGGTGTTCCTGCAGCATCTCTCTCCTCTGCTCTCTCTGCCCACGTTTGCTGCCCTCTGGCTCACCATTCTGGACTTCATGGACAAGTACATGCACGCTGGATCCAGCGACCTTCTGGTGAGATGCTTCAAAGCACGGATTGTATATTATAGCATTACCCTAATGAAAAGTGTTAACCCTTTCACGCATGAGTTTTAAATACTCCAGCTGAGCCTCCTGCATGAGTTTTTTTGTTTTGTTTTATTTTTGTGATTGTTACTTAGTGTCTATTGCGTTCCAAAGTTCCCATGGCGATGCATCAAGTTTACCACGTGACCCATCAGTCCCAATGATGTATATGTCATATTTTGTTTCTTTTTGCCCTTTTCTGTAAACATTGACAAATGTTCTAAATATATTGTGAAATTTCTGATTCCCAAATATGTGATAGGACATATACTTTGTCTTTTAAACGGCTTAATAATGATCGTATTATTTGTAATATAACGGGTTATGGGCACTGCTGTTGTTGCTAGAAGTGATACGGCTGCGATTGGAAGTTAATAAGTATTTATATTATTCATTAAATTACGCCTTAATTGTATTTTATTAGCTAGATGGGATACAGCTGAGAATAAGTCAATATATTGTAATCTAATAAAATTGTATTTTATTAGATGATGCCATATTGACGTGAGTATCCTCAGCTGTATCCCATCTAGACTTCACCCTCTCCTGCAGTGTGGTGAAGTCAGATAGGATACAGCTGAGCATACTCGCATCAATATAGCATAATTTTTGTGACACTACAACAAATAATATTTTTACATAAGCGAAAGGGTTGGGTTTAGGGTTGAGGTAGGGGTAGACCTTAATAAAATATAATTAATGTGTAATTTATTAATAATATTAATAATTCAAGTTAACTTCCGATCGCAGCTTTATCCTATCTAGCAACAATCGCAGGAGAGATCCGAGCTGCTGGATTTAAGTCATCTTAATTTATCATTTTCTGCTGAAATACATGAAGGTAAGCAACTGTTTATCTAGAAGGGGAATAAAGAAAATATTCTAGTAGCATAAACAGTGTGATTCTTACATGAATAAAGCACGTTGTCCAGTTGTATGGAAAAATAATTATTATTGCCGTCTCTATAGACATCTGCGTGTATTTTACAAACCGTAAATGGCATGTTTTGCTTGTTGTTTTGTGTATTTGAATGTCTGAAATCTAAAATAAATGTTGACACCTTTTTCTGTGTCTCAGCACATGCCGTCAGATTTGAATTTTAGCAGCTGATGATGTGCGCTCTGAACATACCAATCACACCGGTGTAATCGTATGCTTCAGGAACCAGCCAAGGCTGATCACACCAGTGTGATTGCACGCGTTAAAGGATTTGTTAGCTCAAAAAAATTGATTTTGTTGTTAAATACTCCCATGAACACAAATTAAGATATTTTTTAATAAAATTAAATTTTAATGAGAGCTCTCTGACCTTCCATAGACAGTAACAGTCCCGGGATTTTTATAGTCCAGATAAGGAACTTCAAACATCTTCAGTGGTTCAACTTTAATCAAACTAAGCTCCAAGAATATGCCAAGTTTTATTTATTTTTAATTTTTCTCCTCCACGTAATGTCCAGAGTGCTCATTTACTACTGGCTGACTCTGATAAATACATTATCTCACCCATAGTAAATGCGAACCCTGACCTGTTAAAAAAAAGACGTCACGTAGGGACAAAATGTGTTAACATTTAATAAAAGCTCCATGCAGATTGGCTAATTTTATACCTGCCGTGTGCTACTCACATGGTTGACTATTGTACTTACTAATTTGCATACTATTTTACCATGTCTCTAAGCTTTAGTTCTGGTGTTGAAGGATTTACAGCAAAGCATGATTAATTTTAAGTATTGATTGATTGAGTGTGTGTGTGTGTGTGTTTGTGTTTGTGTGTGTGTTTGTGTGTGTGTTTTTGTGTGTGTTTGTGTTTGTGTGTGTGATTTTGCGGCACAGCTGGAGGCCATCCCTGAATCCCTGAAAAACATGCTGCTGGTAATGGACACAGCAGGGATCTTTCATAGCGCAGACTCCCGCACAGGATACTCAGACCTGTGGGAAATCACCTGGGAGAGAATAGTCTGTTTCCTGCCCCGTCTAAAGGAGGAGCTCTTCAAACAGGCTGTCATTCCAGGTACTGCCCATTTAAACAACATTAGCGATAACATTACCAAGCGCATGAAGCCACAAGGTTTAGATTTGGTGAACTGAGATCTTGTGTTTTTGGTGTAGAGCCTGTGTGTAATGTTCCTGTGGAGCCCGTCCCGCCTCCTGTTGCTGTTCCTCCAGCCGCTCCCACTGTTCCAGCTCCATCACCAGTGCCAGCAGCCCCTGCAGAGCCAAATATCCCCAGCAGACCCTCATCGCCTCAAGACATGCCGACACCGAGTGCCAACGGTGATCGTAAGCTTTTTTTTTTTTTTAAACATTCTTTGAATTGGAGTGGGTGCTATGGGAGTTGCCATTTTAACAGGTTACACTCTTGCTGCATAGTGAGCTACGTTTGAACTTGCACACTACTCATAGATACTACATTTAAATATGAATTGTTTTCAAAAGTATGATCTATATAGTATGACTTTTAGTATGAGTGGAATATGCTGCAATGGCTCCTTTAAATACGAGATCAATGTAGCGAGTTTTGACGCTCTCGCTGCTGGAGCTGAAGGCAGACAGCGTTGTCGCCAGGGCGGCCAGAGCGACCTTGGACGCTCTCGCCGCATTTCGGTGTGAACATACGGTTAAGCAGTGTTGTGCTGCCAATCTCTATTTTTGGTTTAAAACATGGAGAACGTGTAGCTGTAACCAAGTATATTCTTAAACAAACCTTTTCTGCTTTCTTTCCTTTGTGCAGGAACAGACAGATCATCTCCAGTTCCTCCCTCAACACCTCCGCTACCCACTCCAGCCAAGAAGAGTCCTCCAGAGTCCCCGCCACCTCTCAGCCAGTCCCCGCTCATCCTCCAGCCCCTCGCCTCCCCTTTGCAGGTGGGCGTCCCCCCTATGACCCTGCCAATCATTCTGAACCCCGCCCTCATAGAGGCCACCTCGCCCGTGCCCCTGCTGCCCCGCCCCTCCGCAGACTGACCCGCCCCTCCGCCAACTGCCCCGCCCACAGTGTTGCAGCATTTGAAGGAGAAACGCGCTGGAAGAAGCATCTGATTTCACTGTAGCCCACACACTATTCAATTATGTAAGAGCAGGAGCTGGAAGAAGAGCGTACGAGAGGACATTGAAATGCATGGTTGCCTCTCCTCGTTTCAAACATCAAAGCTTCTCCCAGACCGATCAGACGAGAATGTCCTTCAGCCAGAGATGAGCATATTTATTCAAATCAGGAAGGTGCCACCCCCAGAGGGACAGTTCATTATTGATGGGACGAGGTGTATTTCTGGTAGGTTAACTGCAGCTGTCAGAGCAGATTTTAATGTGTTAGTACTGGTCAGGCAGAGATCACAGAGAATGGCTGATGAGTAGAGGTCTGGCTTGTTACACCGTACAACATACTTTAGCGCTGAAGCTTTTAGCACCGCTCAAGATTAACAAGACTGTACAGTATGATGAAGAAAACCCTAACTTATTTAGACTATTCTTGTCGCTTTTACTCTTTAATTATAGCATATTGGCGTAAATTGGTCTAAAGGAAAATTGAAGTAATAGTCCATCCAAAAACTGATAATTGTGTCATCATTTACTTATCCTCCACTTATTTATATGTATAAATGTGATAACACTTATAATAACTGCACAGTATGAATAATTTATTAAACGTTATCAAATAATGGATTCATTATCTGTTAAGCATTAACTCTACATTAATAGAGTAAGCAGTTTATAAGTGCAGTTACAAATTCTCTTGACATATAGGCACATGTGTAATGTGCTTAATGATTGTGTTTTAATAGTTTGTTAATGATTCATTTTTCATTACTGAATTAAATATGCTGTTATTTACAAATCAGTTATTTCAGAATAGTTGGTGGTTTTTAAAGATTATTCAGAATGAGAGAGATTAATAAACTATCCAAATCAACATTTATAATGCTTTTATTCAGTAATATACTAATAGTTAATTTGTATGTTAATAAATGCTTTATTAACTCAACTTCATGTAGTTTTGTGACCTAATCTAAAGTGAGGACTATTTATACTTTATAAATCCTTTATAAATGACAGTTAAAGGCTCAGTTAAATTATATTAAAAAATACTTTATTCAATTTTATTAATTTGAAGATACACGAATGAAACTGAATCAAATGAGAAAATAAATCTTTGCAACAATATTCAAAATAAAATTACTGTACAATTTAGACATTGCTTAATAACATTAAAATGTTGAATCATAATATATATTTAAATTATCCTATTGTTGTTTTATCCAAATTTTACAGTAATTTACAGTAGTTTTATTTTTTAAATACGATTGCAAAGATTATTGTTCTTTTAATACTCAGCATTTAATTGTCATTTATAAGGGATTTACGAAGCATAAATAGTCCTCACTTTAGATTAGCTCACAAAACTGCATGAACATGAGTTAAAAAAGCATTTAATAACACACATACTAACCATTACTATACGCCTGAATAATAAAATATATAAATGTTAATTAAATAGTTTATTAATCATTTACTTACTCATTCTGAATAATCTTAAAAACCATCGACTACTCTTAAACACAACTAGTTTGTAAATAATGCAGTACTTTAATTTAGTAATGAAAAATAAATCAACAAATTGTAAAAATACAATTGTTAAGTACATTATAAATGTGTTTATAAATCAAGAATACAGCATTTGTAGCTGTAGCTATAAACTGTTTACTAACATTTATTAATGTAGAGTTAATGCTTAACAGATAATAAATTCACTAGATGCTAATGCTAAATAAATGATTTATAGTATGTAGTTATTATAAAGTGTTACCATAAATGTTTATTTTTGTTATATATGTTTAAATAATGTTGGTATTCTGTAGCTGCTAGTTTTACTGCTATGGTTGTAAGTTAATGGCCACTGGTTACCAACATTTTTCTAAATATCTTCTTTTGTGTTCAACAAAGTTTGGAACCACTTGAGGGCGAGTAAATGATGGCTAAATTGTCATTTTTAGATAAACTTTATCCAATATGCCATACAGGAAGAGTTCACCCAAGAATAGAAGTTCTCTCATCACTTACTGACCAACATCTCACTCCAAACCTTTATGGCATTCTTTATTCTGTAGAACACAAACAAATATTTATTTTCCAGTATGGACTATCACATTTCTCCAAATATCTTATTTTATTCCACAGAAGGAGGGAAGTCATAAATATTTGGAACAAAATGATTGTGAGGGAATGATGAACTACTCATTCTTTTTCAACATTGAGCAACTGAACATGGGTTGTACACGCACATAATTCATAGTCGTGCACCTCTACAACATTCCAGATAGCTGACTGATATGTTCGACTAAATGAACCAGCTGAACTCTGAATGTCAGGTTTTATTTTATTTTGATGGTTGTTTGTTTTATCGTTAACTTGTCTTAAAGAGAGATGATTTTGCTGCTCAGGTTTGTGCTGTAGCACTTTTGCTCTTTACAGCTTTCGTTCTTCAAGAGTTTTCTCCTAGACGGATCAGTCCCCCCCCCCAGACACACTGTGTGTTTCTGCTGGCCTTTCTGTTAAAGGGTTAGTTCACCCAAAATTGTGATTAATTACTTGCTCTCAATTACTTTCAATCCCCAGAAACCTTTGTTCCTTTTCTGGAACACAAGTGAAGATGTTGTAGATGAAATCCTGGAGCTCTCTCATCCTTCATAGACAGCAGTGAGACATTTAAAGTCTACAAAACACACTACATACCTTCCTTCAGAGTCATATCAATTTACGAGAATACTGTTGTGTGTAAATAAAACTAAAATAATGACTTCAATCAACAGATTCATCTTATTGTCAGTATAGGGCACGTCATGTCAACGCGTTTGTGCTTTGTTTCAAACAGAGGAAGTCGCATGTGGACATCCAGGGTGAACCGTATACTGACAATACTACAGGACAGTTTCATCGTAGTGTCAGTATAGGGCATGTCATGTAAACACATTTTTTGTGCTTTGTTTCAAATAGAGGAAGTTGCATGTGGGCATCCAGGGCGCACTCTATACTGACACTGAGAAAAAGAAACTGTTAAATAAAGTTTTTTTTTTACAGCATTCACACAAATTTGTTCTTATAGCTTGATAATATTCTGATTGAACCACAGAACATATATATTTGTCTGAACTTCGATCAAGATAGGATCATTGCTGTCTATGGAGGAAGAGAGAGCTCCAGGATTTCATCTAAAATATCTTCCTTTGTCTTCTGAACATGAAAAAAAGTCTCTGAGGATTTGGTGTGATGGGTGAGTTTGAACTATCCCTTTAAACTGTTTCCCTTTACTGTGGTGATCTCAGCTCTGAAAGTTCAGTGTCCACTTTTAGTCGTTTTTGAATTAATGTACACTTCAGGAGACGTCGAAGCCAGACAAGAGCTATAAAATTGACTAATATAAAAGAAATATAATAGTTCTCAGACACGCACCTCCACTTCCATCAGCCAAGACCACCCGAGAGCAGCTCAAATGCTTCTGGGGATCAGTGTGTGTGTGTGTGTGTGTTTTTTCAGTTTGGATCAGTCCTGAGGCTGTAGGTGCTTTAAGGAGCGAGAGAGTCGTTTAACGTCGATCAGTGATGACAGCAACACAAAGCAGGTGGACATGTGGATGTTTTCTTTTCTTTGTTGTTCTGCATTCTTAGATGCATCAGGAACTAATTCTGTAGTCGACAGGTAATTCATTGAACATAATCTGTATATATATGAATAAAAGTTAATGTACTTTTTACAATGTAATAAATATATGGTCAGATATCCTAATTCTTTGACTTTGTCTAATTCTATTTTGCATTAATTGTTGGTATTAAAATGTACAAAAATGCTCTCTCTCTCTCTCTCTCTTTCTCTCTCTCTCTCTCTCTATATATATATATATATATATATATATATATATATATATATATATATATATATATATATATATATATATATATATATATATATATATATATAAATTTGAGCTATATCATGGCTGTATATCGGCACTGGTGGGAGGCTTGCGGCCTTGTGCTTTAGTGTCCCACCGTGACGATATACAGCCACATCACACTGCTACTCGTGTGATATTGTGTTTATATTGTGTTATAACAGTTCAACGGCATAATCATGTGTAAGAAAAAAGAAAATCAAACAGTCTAAAAACCCTTTTGAATGAAGACCTACTTATTTTCCACCATTCATTCACATCTGCAGCTGACGTCAAAACAGGAGAATCTGTAAAGAGTTTACTTTAGAGCTAGTATTTCAATGATTCTCTAGCGTAATGTCTAAAGTAATGACAAAACAGCTGATTTTGCTCACATTTTAAAATTATAAGGCTGAACGGCATGAAATGCCATCAGTCTACAGAGATATCTCCCTACAGTGTTACAGTCTTTTACAGTCTATAGTATTTCTCTGTTGCAAGTGGGAGATCACAATAATTAACCCATAAAAAAGCAGCGCAATCACTACCAAATTACTGTTGTGTTTACGATAAGAAAAAAATGCTGAACACGTGCGGGCATTTCTTCTTTCTTTCTTGACAACACAACATACATTCCTGATATGAGAGTTCCATCTCACAGTCGATACACTAAAATTATAGAGTATAAATACAGCACTACAACATACAAAAGAGATGTACATAGATTATCATCACTTGTTTAATCATGGTTTGATCAGCTGTAGTTTGAAATTACGCTGTGTTTTTCTCCTCTAGGGGTTTATTATGTGCTCTCTGTCGCCATCTTTTGCATGGACAGCCTAAACCGTCTTTGCTCATTATGACAGGCTAATGGCCGCCAAATAATTTCTCAGAAATTATACACTTTGAAAATAGGCACTATACTTATGAATAAGCTGCATAGTTGCAATCTAAACAAATACATTCTTGACTAAAAAGCCTTAAAAGTACATTATGTAGCCCAACAGCAGGAATATTTGTTAACCTGTAGAGTGTCTCTCTGCTTGTCGCTGTATGTAGGCGAAGTAATACACAAGGGTGAAGGGTTAAGAGGCTAGACTAGTACATATATATGTATATACGTAGACTAGTATATATATATATGTGTGTGTGTGTAAAAATATATATTGACACTGTGCTCAATTGGTACCAGTGGCCCCAAAGTGTGCCAAAAAAATATCCCCTATACACCTGCCTGAACCGTTGATTCTTGGCAGGATGGATCTTTGTTTTTGGCGCCAAATTCTGACCCTACCAAATGAATGTTGCAGCGGAAATCGAGATTCATCAGACCAGGCAACATTTTTTCAATCATTTATTGTCCAGTTTTGGTGAGCCTGTCTGAATTGTAGACTCAGTTTCCTGTTCTTAGCTGACAGGAGTGGCACCCGGTTTGGTCTTCTGCTGCTGTACCCCATCTGCCTCAAGGTTGGTTGTGTTCAGAGATGCTCTTATGCATACCTCGGTTGTAACGAGTGGTTATTTAACTTAATGAAGCCTTTTCAGCTCGAAAAAGTCTGGCCATTGTCCTCTGACATCAACAAGGCATTTGCGCCCACAGAACATCCGCTTATTAGATATTTTCTCTTTTCTGACCATTCACTTTAAACCGTTTTGTGTGAACATCCCAGATCAGCAGTTTATGAATACTCAGACCAGCTTATCTGGCACCAACAACCATGCCACTGAAATCGCCTTTCTTCTCCATTCCGATGCTCGGTTTGAACTGCAGCAGATCATCTTGACCATGTCTAAATGCATTGGGTTGCTTCCATGTGATTTGCTGATTAGAAACTTGCGTTAACAAGCAGTTGGACAGGTGT